CATTGGCGAGCCCATCCGTTGCTCAAAAACATGTCTCCCTACACGAAACATGTTGAACTTGAAAGAGCAATCCACTGCTTCGAGCATCAGCGCCATAGGGACGCATACATCTTTGCCGCCGGCTCTACAAAGCTTACCTTTGAAAACCTTCCGCATCTTTTCTTCTTTGTCAAGACGAACCGTAACTCGTTTGTCCGCCAAAGCAGTGGGAAGGTCAGAAAAGAAAGCCACGTTGTAGAGTCTGCAAAGCATGAAACGCAACGCCGCACCAAATCGTTCTTGCGGAATGCTGATAAAGAAACCAGCAAGGTCTTGATTGAAGAGACACTGCTCTTCGCAGACTGTCTCAGTCTCTGACACTGCGCCGAGGTGGCGGTGCACATCCTTCCAAATTGCCAACGCATCATTGTACGTCTTGCAATGAGGGCAGGTTTCCAAGACCAAGAAATCAACGACTTTGGCGAGCCCCATAAGAAATTTCCGGGCGGGGTGGCAGCAGAATGAGATGATGGGGCGACCTGCCTTCCAAGCTTTTTTATGCTTGGGAAGAATATACGACCAAGGTAACGCAGCATCTCTCTTCCGGAACTGAAACCCCCATGCAAAAGCTTTCTCAATGTGCGCTGGCACACAAGACTCCAACGTGGAGAAGGCCTGTCCCGCAGTCATGTCAACTGCACGGAACACCTCCTTGTTCTGGAAAGTGTGACAGAGCATCATCGAATACTTTTTCCGACAGAACACGTGAATATGGCCTGCCTGATGGTCCCTGACATGCCACACAAGCGTAGGAAACAAAGACTGCAGATGCAACACATCAATCACTGTCCACTTGCGGGCATCACGAACAAATTCGGAATGAATCTTGACTTGTGCATCCCACCAGAGTCTCAAGGAGTCATCATCCGGAAAGCGTACGTGGTGGTTCTTACACCATCGGTGCAAAGATGCTCGCAAACTCCCAAACAAGCTTGACACTGACGCGAAAACTTGGTTGTTGGCACTGGAAGAAGCGATGTCTCCCAGCAAACCGGGTATCCCTAACTTGGATGCCGGAGAAGCAACGTGACCATCACTCAAGTCTAGATCAGGGAAAAGCTCACTGAGACTTTGGCAATTGCATGGCAAGGAGTCAGTTCCATCTGGCTCCCAACACTCCACAAGCTCTTTGAAGTTGAACAGAACATCTTTGACCTTTGGGTGCGCTTTGAAACCAACCTGCAGCTTTGGAATGTGAAAGGGCAACAAAGTTGCTTGGCTGTCTTGAAGCAACGTGCGCAACAACTTTCGAGTATCTGCTGCAAAAGATGGATGTCCAAGACCTCTAATGCACAAACTACTGGGCTCAGAAGGCACAGTCATCTTTCGGAAAAGCATGATCTTCCTCAATCGCTTGCGCACGATTGTTTCACAATGCGGGTCACCCAAACTGCAGCCCAAACGGTACAGTTGGTAAATAAGCAGGTCATCAACATGTCCACTGCGCAGAAGCTTCGCTGCCAAAAAGGATTGAAGACCTCCGCGGCCAGATCAAAGAGGACCTGGAGTGAGAACATGGCGGCCCTCACGATGTTTGCGTCACGGAAAGGGCCAGGCTGAATTGCGTATCCTTTCCTGGCCATCTGTCTGTATCGGCGATGCAACCTGAAAGAATACAAATGTCTGCGTGTTGCGGTGACACGAACTGCAACCGTTCTCAGAGAATGCTTGCCTCGAAAAAATTTTTTGATAAATGGCGCATTCAACGTTGGTCGCCAAAATTGAATCCAGAACTGCTCAACGGCATGAAGGCATCGCTTCAAAGGGCAATGCATAAAGACGATGGGAACTGCCAAGTGGTAGGTATCTGTCTTCAAATACCACCACAACGCCAACTCTCCAACCACATGCTGTGAACGAATGAGCTGTCTATACTTGCCAAGACGCGTGCGCTCCCGGAACCCCAAGGTTCCAGTGGAAGACCCAACGTAAGTATGCCGCTTCAAATGCGGTGACACGAAGATGCGCACATACACACAGTTGGATCTTTGAAAAAAGTCCCAGGTGTAAAGTTCTGGTCTAAGATGACATTGCGACAGAATGTCAGACTGAAACACCCCAAAAGCATGGGTGAGCAAAAGAAACAAACCCCTCTGCCACAGAGCTACATCCATAGCCCAGGCACCCCACTGCATGGGGTTTTGGAAAAAGGCCTCAAAGAATTTTGCCGCACCAATGGCAAGGCACAAAATGCCCCTGTGATGCCGCCACAATTGACGAATAGGGCGACCATTGGCATGCTTCAGCAGCATCACTAGTCAAAGTGACATCTTAGAAGCTACTGCGACGATCTTCAAAAGCGGCTCTTGCTTGAGCTTGGAGATCTCTCTGACGGGCACTCCCCACTGCACAGCCTGATGGTCAAGCTTAGCCTGAGCACCTGGGCTAAGAGACTCAAACCAACTCTGCACGGATTGGATCCAGTTCTGTAGCTCGTTTGACTTCGCTTTCGAGAGCTTCAACTTGGAGATCCAGTCTTTTACTTCACGATCGTTCTTCATCTGCACCCACTTTTTACTCAGGAACTCGGACTTGGGCTTGTCCATAACTTTCTGCACATGCTCAACCGAACCAAACGCGGGTTCTGCAACAGGCGCCCCGCAGTTGTTTGCCTCATGGGGCGAATTGGACGCTGCAGGACCACCCTCAGTGTCGTTCTTGGCAAAGAACGAGGTCAAGCTCGACTGCATCTTTTCTTGTGGCTTTCCGTCAGTTGTGCTTGATGACCCAGGGGCGGTTGTATCATGCCGCTCAAGGTCCAAAGGTGCACCGCTCTGGTCTGCGACTCGTTGCTCTGGCGCTGTGCTTGGCGCCTGCACAGTTTGGGTTGCTCTTTGTTGAGCTGCAACTTGCTTCTGCAACTCTTGAATTTGAGACTGCAACGCAGCGACACGATCCGATTCTTGGCTCTGCTTCGGCTGTAAGGATTGAATGTACTCTGCAACCTTGGTCGCCAACACTCCGGAGCACCAGGTTCGATCCCCCGCTTGCCCATCTTGCCGGGACACATGCTCTGCAATCACATCAAGCGAGACATGGTTGGATCGCAACGTCTGAAACAGACTGTGAGCAAAAACCACCTCAGCGACATCTTTGAACATTCCCAAGTAACATTCTTTTCCATCGCATAATCTTCGCAGCCACCAGCTAGACCACCCGTGGTGTAGCAGAGCATGAATAGGCACTGCCGAAGCTGGACACCCCGCAATGCCTTTGCGGCGAGTGAAATCCGAAGTCTTGACAAATCTTGGGAGCTGCAACCCTCCCACGAGATTTGTGTCCAGAAACATAGCATCACCACGGAAACTGGACGGGAGCGGTGGGCCGAATGTACTCACAAATGAGTGAGATTGGCCTTTCTCTTTCTCAGGTGTTGCAGCTTGGACTTGACTGACGTTGTGTTGCTGCGTCGGCCACTGCTGCACCTGTCCCAACACACAGGCCCCTTTACCTGGCATTGCCTTGCCATACGGTTGAAAACCGCCGGGCAATGCCGACGATGCTCTGCAACCTAAGCCATATGGAGCCTGAGGCCGATATGGGCCGTACTCACACTGCGCTCCAATCCCGGCGTGCGCACCTTTTCCGACACATGGCAGTCTTGGCTGTTGCGGAACCTCGAAATTGGGCGGTGACCAGTGCAATTGTGTCGCAGGCAAGACTGCACTAACACCTGCACTAACACCTGTCCCGCCACTTGGCTGCATCCATGAGAATTGCTGTCGCCGAGGCGAACGGTCTCTACCCGGCAGCATTTTCCCGTTCCCGCTTAGGAATCAGGCAGAACTCCAGCTTGAGCAAGCAAAACTGTGTGGACAGAACTTCTCACAGTCTCATAAAGACAAGAACAAGAACAACAAGGTCCAACGCACGCAGCAAGCACAGGCCAGTACCCCCATGTCAACCGCACACGCAAACAAACACAGACATGCGTGATGCGTCAGCAATTTCCACTGATGTTGGAGGAACTTCAGTTCCTGTCCTGTGGGGATTGTCGGGTCAATCATTCGTCAAGAGAAGAGGACACCGGACAAGAAGGAAGACAGGAAGAAAGGAAGAAAGGAAGAAAGGAAGAAAGGAAGAAAGGAAGAAAGGAAGAAAGGAAGAAAGGAAGAAAGGAAGAAAGGAAGAAAGGAAGAAAGGAAGAAAGGAAGAAAGGAAGAAAGGAAGAAAGGAAGAAAGGAAGAAAGGAAGAAAGGAAGAAAGGAAGAAAGGAAGAAAGGAAGAAAGGAAGAAAGGAAGAAAGGAAGAAAGGAAGAAAGGAAGAAAGGAAGAAAGGAAGAAAGGAAGAAAGGAAGAAGGAAGGAAGAAAGGAAGAAAGGAAGAAAGGAAGAAAGGAAAGAAAGGAAGAAAGGAAGAAAGGAAGAAAGGAAGAAAGGAAGAAAGGAAGAAAGGAAGAAAGGAAGAAAGGAAGAAAGGAAGAAAGGAAGAAAGGAAGAAAGGAAGAAAGGAAGAAAGGAAGAAAGGAAGAAAGGAAGAAAGGAAGAAAGGAAGAAAGGAAGGAAGAGAAAAAAAAAAACAGAAAGACAGAAAGAAAGAAAGGAAGAAAAGAACAGAAGAAAAGAAGAAAAAAAAAGAGAGAAGAAAAGAAAAGAAAAGAAAAGAACAACAGCCTGCCAATGGCTTCACCTTTCACGGTGCTGACGACATGGCCCCATGTGGGAAAGCTCATGCCGAATCACAATTTGCAAAGTCTTGTTTGGCAGAAAGACTCATCAATGATGAAGTCAAACGCCGCTTCTTTAAAAATGTTTTGAAACCTTCCTGTACAACCTCATGACAAGGAAAACGCAGGTACGTCGATGTGCGTCCACATCGATTTCAGCACTACGCTCTGACCCTCTTCGTTGGGCCAACAGTCAGAGCGAGTGGTTGGCCCCCCTGCAGATTTCTTGGGTTCTCGTCTCACCCGCACCGCAAAATAGGCGTAACAAAATGGCGCTGTGTTATCACGGAAAAATTCAACGCCGGTGCTTCTCATCTCGCAGACCAAACAAAAACTCCTCAATCCGCTCGAAAAACCTCGCCAAAAACAAAAAAAAAACTCACACCCCTAAGAGCCCTTGAAACCCCCCATCTCCCCCCTAAGTCCCTGCAAGCCCCCTTCAAACCCCTTTAAACCCCACCGTTTCACCCTTAAGTCCCTGTAAAGCCCATTAAGCCCTTGAAGCCCTTGAAGCCCTTCAAGCACTAAACCCTAAGCCCTTTGTCTTAAAACCCTAAACCCTAGACCCCTAAACCCCTAACCCCTAACCCCTAACCCCTAAACCCTAAACCCTAAACCCTTTTTTTTTGAACCCAGACTGAGACAAGCTTGCTGGGATTCCTGCCAACCCTAAACCCTAAACCCTAAACCCTAAACCCTAAACCCTACCTTCAAACTCCGAAGACGCCGGGTGGCCGGTGGCCCGGGCCCAGCACCATCAGCGCCTCGAGGATCACGGGGCGGTGGTCCTGGGCTTGAGGTTTAGGGTTTAGGGTTTAGGGTTTAGGGTTTAGGGTTTTTGGGTTTTTGGGTTTAGGGTTTAGGGTTTTTGGGTTTGGGGTTTGGGGTTTAGGGCTTAGGGCTTAGGGTTTAGGGTTTAGGGCTTAGTTCTGGAAGTTTCTCAGGTGCACCGACCCCACCCCCATCCCCCCCCGAACAAAAGCAAATCGGGTGGTCCATCCATTTTCCTTGCGAAATGCCGCCGGGCATCACTCCCATCGATGTGGCCGACCGTTTCCTTGAATTTGGTCAGGGGACTCTAAACCCCTGAACCCTTTTACAACCAGGTCTGCACAGCCCTCAACCCTAAACCCCTAAACCCCGAATCCCTAAACCCCTAAACTCTTTTTGCTTCAGGCTCCTGTGGTAGCTTGCCTGTGACCGAAGTTGTTCAGGTGATGTCATGCGAGTCGGATGACTTCGCCACACCCCTAAACCCCTAACCCCTAAACCCTGGACCCCAAACCGCTACAGATAGATTGCGACGCAAAAGCCTGACTGGCCCTTGGTGCGCGCCGTGCCTGTCGTTCGAGGATTTAGGGTTTAGGGTTGAGGGCTTAGGGTTCAGGCCTTCGGGTTTAGGGTTTAGGGTTTAGGGTTTAGGCAGACGAGGTGACATAGCCGCCATCTGGGATCACGAAGGACATCTGGCAGGCCAGCGAATCCGGCGCCCAGTAGATGACCTGAGCGCTCCACCCTTAAGGCACTTGGAGGTTCATGGCACTTATAAGCCCAATTATCACTGGTCACATAACCCACTTGTAAGCCCTTGAAGTGGCCTAATATGGTTACAACTGGGTTATAAGTACAGTTATACTTGGGTTCTTAAGTACCATGAGTACGCACCCTAAAACCTAAACCCTAAACCCTAAACCTTAAACCATTTTGCCAAGGGGCCCGAACCCTCACAGGGGCTTAAATGAAGGGTTTGGGGGGTTTAGGGGTTTAGGGCTTTAGGGCTTTTCACGTTCTTAAAGGGTTTAGGGTCTCAGGATTCTAGGGTTTTAACGGTTCCGGGGTTTTAAGGGTTTGGGGGGTTTAGGGCTTTAGGGCTTTTAACGTTTTTTAAAGGGTTTAGGGTCTCAGGATTTTAGGGTTCTAAGGCTTCCGGGGTTGTCAGGGTTCAGCGGTTTCTAGGGCTTCCCAGACCTCTGCGGGGATCCAAAAAAGTAGATCCCCTGCAGGGTTCCAATGACCCAATAGGAGTATTTGGGGGTTCGACTCCTCGGATCCTCACAGGGTCTGGGAAATCCTAGAAAACATATCCCCTAAAACCCTAAACCCATAAAAAAACCCTAAGACCCTGCAACCCTGAAACCCTGAACCCTTAGAACCTTAAAGCCCCGAAACCCTCTCCCCGGGATCAGGGCACCCCTCCCTAAACCCTAAACCCTAAACCCCAGAGAGCCCCCGCCAAGCCACCCTCTCGGTGAAGGCGGGGAAGTGGGTCGGCTTCACCTTGGACGGATCCTTCTTCAGGCCCCACCTCGGTGGTAAGGTTAAGGTTGGAAGGGTTCGGGTTTAGGGTTTAGGGTTGAGGGTTGAGGGTTGAGGGTTGAGGGTTGAGGGTTGAGGGTTGAGGGTTGAGGGTTGAGGGTTGAGGGTTGAGGGTTGAGGGTTGAGGGGTGAGGGTTGAGGGTTGAGGGTTGAGGGTTGAGGGTTGAGGGTTGAGGGTTGAGGGTTGAGGGTTGAGGGTTGAGGGTTGAGGGTTGAGGGTTGAGGGTTGAGGGTTGAGGGTTGAGGGTTGAGGGTTGAGGGTTGAGGGTTGAGGGGTCTGAGGCTTTAGGGCCTGCAGGGCTCGGGGTTAAGGTTGGAACCATGGGCCCTTGGGTAGGGTCCCCTATACCCTTGCTTTAGAAGGGATCCGAATACAGGCTCTGATTCTGCACAGCGTTGTGTCAGGGCTGTATAACAAGAGACCCAAGTTAAGGGCCCATACTTGGAAGCCTAGAGGTTTGGGATTGTTTTCGCACGTGGGGTTTTGGGGCTTCGGGTTTCGGGTGAAGGGCTTATGGGTTTTGGGTTTGGATGAGGTGATGAGCTACTACCGAGAATCTGGGTTGCTGCAACGACAAAAATGACCAGTCGCAGAAGTCACGGCGTATGCCTAACATTGCCTAACCTTATGACAGCCCAGCATCTCGTTGCCAAACTCGCGCCTGGCGATGCGCCGGGCAAAAGCCCAGCCCAGCTGCGAATCATTTACCCAAGCCCTGTTGTCCAGCTAACGACTGTACTTGCCTGGGATTGCTTGCTGCCAGGTAAAAAAACTCTAAACCCTACACCCTAAACCCTAAACCCTGAACCGCATTGCTTCCGATTTCTGCCCCCACCTGTGCACACTGTTCATCTTCCGCGTCGGGTCACGCGAGTCTGGCGCAGGCTGGGCAGGATCCTTGGCAGGCTTGGGGCCCATTCGGCTTGTGTTTGGGGTTTAGGGTTTAGGGTTTAGGCTTTAGGTTTTTTTTTAGGGTTTAGGGTTTAGGGTTTAGGGTTTCGGGCTCAGGGTTTGGGGTTGGGGTCTGGGGTTTAGAGCGGGGCCCACAGAGCACACAGAATAGCATAATATCAACCATGCTTCTGAATGTTCCCTTTAGCTTCATATGGGGGTTTACGATAATAAGGGGCCCGCAATATGGACCCGCAAATAGTAAGATGCCCTTTTATTGCGGACCCCAATAAGGTACCCCTAACATCGTAGATATCCATATTACAAAGCAAAACTCCTAAGGATAGAGGAGGTCCAGGCATCGTGCACGCGAGCGAGGATGTCACCTACAGTGACCTTCTTCGCGATGCACATCCTCAGAAACCGGAATCACTGCAGCTTCACACGCAATCATCCTAAGCCGTTGGCCGTTTCAATCTTGGGTGCTGAAGCACTGAAGGACTTCCATCAATCTCTTCAACGCAAAATTAAAGGGGCCATCTGAAGCTGCTGCAGCTCAAGGCCCTAAACCCTAAACCCTAAACCCTGAACCCTAAACCCTAAACCCTAAACCCTAAACTATAACCTTTTCCATCACATGTGAGAAGTTTGTGCTGAGGTCAGCATCGAAGTCCCTGCTTTGCTTCGGCCGAGTTGCTTTGGATCCACCTGGGGGCCATCCGACCGGGCTGACTTCTTGGAGTGTGGGTAAGGCTTCGAAGCAGTGGGGGCCCTGGCTTTCAAGAACACCCGATCCAACACTCCTGACACCCCCAACCCCTAAACCCTAAACCCTAAACCCTAAAACCTAAACCCTAAAACCTAAACCCTAAACCCTGCAACTGCCAGCCTTGTAGGTGACGGGCATCTCGTAAACGCTATTGAAGGGGACGACCTCGCAAGCGGCAGCACCACGGCAGAAGTTTTTTGATGGCGTCACACAGGGATCCACAGCAAACTGCCATGAAAGCACACGTGGATGCAGACAAGCCAATCAGAATCACCAGGTCAACCTTGTTTTACTTTTTGGGTTCCTAGACTTATGGGACCCAGAAACCCTAAACTCGAAACTCCCCTACATTGGAAAATTCACCAGGTACTGTCATCGGGGAGGTTCATGGGCAGCTATCGATAAGGTTATCTAGCTGTAAGGTACTCCTGCTTCCCTAGATCAACTTCCCCGCTCCTAGAGCTTGCAGCAAGCTCTAAGCACGGCAAGTAGAGTTCTAGGTTGTACTTAACCGTAACTGGAGTACTCAGAACCCTTGCTATTTTGCATCTTGGCTCGCAGATGTAGCCAGAAGCTAGGTTGTCCACCCTAAACCCCAAACCCTAAGCCCTAAACCCTAAACCCTAAACCCTAAACCCTAAACCCTCCAGGAAGCCTCGTGCCAGCGCCCGTGCGGCAGCCGCAGGTCGCTGGAAATCGCCGCCATGAGGCCGGGATCGTTCAGCACCTGAACACGACCAGACCCAGGAGTACCCTAGGAGTAGACAGGGTTTAGGGTTTAGGGTTTAGGGTTTAGGGTTTAGGGTTTAGGATTTAGGGTTTAGGGTTTAGGGTTCAGGGTTCAGGGTTTAGGGTTTAGGGTTTAGGGTTTAGGGTTTAGGGTGACCCAGGAATAGCCCATATAGGAACATAAATGGAACCCTTTTTGGTTTAAAGGGGCTTAAAAGGGAACCTTAACCCTAAAGAAGGGAATGAGGGCCTACTCTGTGTCTTAGACGAGGTGGGGCTTGAGTGGTTAGGGATTATTTAGGGATTATTTAGGGTTTAGGGTTAAAGGATTTGGGCACGCCAGGTCGAGACTCTACTTTACGTTTCGCATCCTGTGCCTGCCACAAGACAGTGAGGGTTCGAGGGTTGAGGGTTGAGGGTTTAGGGTTGAGGGTTGCGGGTTTAGGGTTTTAGGGTATGTCCCGATGTACACGTAAGCAACTTCTTCGAGCAGGGGCCCTCGAACGCTTGGGAAAATCAAGGGGTGCAGGGGTACTTATATATCCCCAATTATAACTCTACGTATTAACCTACTTAGCGGACTTAGGGGGGCTTAAAGGTGCAGCTACAATTGGAGTTATAAGCACCCTCAACCCTAAACCCTTTTGCATCCAGGCTTGGGTGAGCGTGCCGGGAAAGAGCTCATGCTGCCCAGGTTCGTCAAAACCCTAAACCCCTCCGCCACGCACGCGGATGCCAAGGCCTCGAGAAGAACGTCCTTGGCCTGACTGCCCTTGCCATGGTCGTCAAAGACAGTTCGGCTGTTCAGGTCGCCCTGGATGAAGAGCACCTGCAGCCGATCAGGATGTAGGCTTTAGGGTTTAGGGTTTAGGGTTTAAGGTTTAGGGTTTAGGGTTTAGGATATCAGGATGTAGGGCCCCACACCTATGATAGAAGATTTGCGCCCCCACGATCCTAAGGTCTGGTTGGGGCTTTCTTTGGTTCTAGGCTACTAGGCTACGAGTCATTGACTCGTTTTCGGGTTTAGGGTTTAGGGTTTAGCGTTTAGGGTGTTAAGGTACCCTAGACCCTGGTCCCTAACCCCCTTGGGGTATGGGGTTCCATGGCCGGCCGTGTCGGGCTTGGTCAAGTCCCAGGCCACCGCTTTGTAGAGGACTTCGCGCAGAACGCGGGCGTACCTGCAGGCTTGGGTTTTTTCGCTCCCGCGCAGCAGGTAGTTTAGGGTTAAGTCTTGGGGTCTACAGCTCACGGGCCCAGGCATCCAAGAAATGGAAGGGGAAGACTTCCGCTTAAATCGCATGACCCCCTGAACTCAAGAAGCTCGTCCCCCCTAAACCCTACACATCCCTGAACCTGGGCCGCCCGAAAGCCCGGAAGCCCCCGGAAATCCCCCCAAGACTCGGTTTAGGGTTTAGGGTTTAGGGTTTAGGGTTTAGGGTTTAGGGTTTAGGGTTTAGGGTTTAGGGTTTAGGGTTTAGGGCTTAGGAGGGTTTCGGAGGGTTTAGGGTTGAGGGTAAACCCCCCGGACAAACGTGCCAGGGCAACTCGATCTTGGCGGCCATCAGCTTTTCTGAAGCCTCCAAGCTGCTTGTGAGCACCTGCGGTAGCTTCATGGACCCTTCATATGGTCCGTTGCCCTCTTTAAAGGGTTCTGGTGTATGGACCCTCGGGTTGTATAGGGTTTTTAAGGGGGTATATACCTTGTAAACCTTTGTTATAGGGCCCATACTAAGGGACCATGTAACTACCCCAAGAAAAACGGAAAGCCAATAACCCTAACCAACCCTAACCCTCAACCCTGGCATGGCCCTCAACCCAAGCGGCTTCGGGCTTGGGCCCCTCAACTCACCCTGGAAGAAAAGTACATACCTTTTGTGTATAAGTAGCTATACTAGGAAGCCAGAACCAAAAAATGTATTCAAGTGTAGTACTCCTAAACCCTAAACCCTATACCCTAAACCCTAAACCCAGAACCCCAAGGCCGCGCCAGCTGCAGCCGGCGCATGGGAAAGTGGGTGCCGAAGAAGCAAAGCCTGTGCCGTGCGGAGCCGAGCCGTCCCTCCGAAATCCTCAAGCCCCAACGTCCCACCCCACTTGCCCCCTCAGCGAAGCATACTGCTTTTTTTGCTTAAGACGGAGGGCGGCGCCGGCACATCTGAATAGACTCTTGCCAGGACGGGGAGTTCACAAACTACAAGCCGAAGGACATGTGACTGTTGAGATCATGCCTCCCAAAGCGAACTCCTGTCTGCCAGGGGAAGCCAAGAGCGGCTAACAAGGACTGAAAAAGCAAACCGAACGCTGATCACGGGAGGACTCTGCCTGCTCAATCAACATACGCCCATGCAACTACAGCGACATGCGGCGGAACCATTCTCCCGAACTTGCGCGAGAACTACAACCCCCGAACCCCCAAGACAATTTGTCAACATCATCATCATCATCATCACCATCATCATCATCATGTTCGGACTGCCAATCATAATCATCATCACAGCGTGAAAACAAAATTTTAATGGCGATAACCGAAAGAGCAAAACAAAAAATAGCAACATCAAGAACAACACTGATAAGCAACAAAACGAAGAGACACCAAGAACGCTAACAACACACATAACATGTATAGGAACAGTTCTGACACTACGCATAAGTATAAGAATGACAATACTACTAATAATAACAACACAATAAGAATGGCAATAAGAAGAAGACGAAGAAGAAGAAGAAGCAGAGTAATATTATAATCATAATAATCATCATCATCACAATAGTAACAAGATACTAATTGTAACACAATAAAAATAACAACAATAATAACAACTATAAGTATACTGACAATATTCACAATAATAATAATTAATAAATAATGAGTAAGAAATAAGAAATACATAATAATGATAGTAATAATAACAACAAGAACAAGAACTAACAACAATAAATAATGCGTAAGAATCATAATAATAAGAATGGTAATAATCATGATAATCATAATCCTAATCATAGTAACAGCCCACACAACAATAGAAACAGCAAAAACAACAGTAGCGATAACAACAACCATCACGACAATAACAACGAGGAAAAAAGAAAAAAAAAACATGAACAACAAGAACAGCATAAACAGCAATAGCAACAACACAGGAGCAAAAGCCATCTCTCTAGATAAAAAAGAACCCCAACACAAAACCAAAAAAAAAAAAAGAAACGCACACCAAAGCCAGTGCCTCAGCCCATCGCCCCGGCGGACGATGCTCGAACCCAGGAAGGCCTCGCGCATGCCACGGGTATACTTATAACCATATTAGGGCTTAGGGTTTAGGGTTTAGGGTTTAGGGTTTATGGTTTCGGGTTTCGGGTTTAGGGTTTGGGGTTTAGGGTTTACTTACAACTGTACCTATAACCATATTAGGGCACTTAAGGGGGGGCGGTTTTTTGTGGGTTCAGGGGGGGTTCAGGAGGGGGATTTAGGGGGGGTTTACGGGGGTTTCGGGGGGGATTTAAGGGGTTTTCTAGGACTTCTTTGGGGTTGCCAGGGGTTTTGACATGGTGGCTTTCGCAGGTCCCTGCACAAGCGTGCCTTCTCGGGATTCAGGGTGAAGGCGCCATCGAGGCGCGCGTCTAACTCCGGTTCGAAGAGCTCCTGTGGGGAAGAAGTTTAGGGTTTAAGGTTTAGGGTTTAGGGTTTCGGGTTTGCGGTTTGGGGTTAGGGTGTAGGATTTAGGGTCAGGGTTTTCGACGAGCAGGTTTGGGGCTTCGGGGTTAGTGTTTAGGGTTCAGGACCAGTTTGCCGACTCATGCAGGGTTTCTAGGAGCTCTTTGTGAGATTTTGGGTTTTTTCGTTCAGCATGGGACGCGTTTGGGAAGACTTGGGGAATGCTTACCTGCGCAGTAAGGTTGAGGGTTGGCACGCACTCTCTGCTAGAAGGTCTAGGGTTTAGGGTTGAGGATTTAGGGTTTCGGGGGACAAACACGACTACACCCCGTCAAGTTGAAACCTTGCGTAACTTGGGGAGATGCTCATGTCTTTTCGCCACCCGCCTGGCTGACTGTAGGAGTTTAGGTTTCCGGGGATTTTGCCTCCCGTCAGGCAGACCAGGTTTTCCTCTTCCAAGCAGACCAGGTTTAGGGTTTGAGGTTTGGGGTTTTCGGTTTCCGCAAGCCGGGATCTGCGCAGTCCTTCCGAAAGCCCAGGACAGTCTTGACCTGAGTGGGGTCGCAAGCTCCAGGGTGGAGACGTCACCATGTGGGTAGTTCTCTGCATCTTATGCCCCTTTTGGATGCCCTATAAAACACGGCAGCCTCATAATCAGGACCCCAAACGGGGACCTAATTTAGAGAACTACCCATGAGTGGGATGTTGGTTTCGGCTGGCCTTTGATTCGTAGCTCAACATGAGCATGAAGACTTGCGCCACTGTTGAGGCGCCCGCATTCTAATGGAGGACTCCCTAAACCCTAAACCCTAAACCCTAAACCCTTTTTGCATCGGGGCTATGATGTCCTGGCCGGAAAGTCTTAGAAACCCTAAACCCTAAACCCCCTAAACCACATCGTCTTAGCTTCTGGTACCCGAGGCCAAGAGCATTGCCAACGACGTGCTGGACGAGCTTCTTCCTGCGGCCGTTTGCTCCCAAAAGCCTCTTCTTAAGGGGTAAACCCGGACCCTTAATCTTGGATATATATATATATATATACCTTATATAGTCCCTGTATACCTGAGTAGCCCCCCAGATGACCCCTAGTCTTCCTACCCTGACGCGGAATGCCTAACTGTTTAGGTCGGGATGTTCCCCCCTATACTAGCAGTCCTTGGTAGGGAGCATTCACCCCCTATGAGAATCCCTACTAAGGGCTGTTAGTACAAGGGGGAACATCCCAATGTTTAGGGTTCAAGGTTTCGGGGCCCGACCCAACTTTCACACAACGCCCTCCCGGAACCCTCCGCGTCCTGCACCAGGAAAACGGATTGTAGCTCCTTGCCCCGGCTCAGGTCGGGAGAGGCTCACAGGGGTTGCAACCCAGGCCTTTCTAATCAACTTTCGCCCCAAAACCTGCGCGGCCTCCAGCTATTAAAGGGCTCTTAAGGGGTGGGGGTTCAAGGGAGTATGTCACCCAAGGTTCCCTAATACTCCCAAGAACCCAATGAGGCTAGGAATCTGATTCCGGCCCTGATGCAGACTAGCTTCGAGGTGGCTTTCTTCCGCAAAGCGTCACGGTGCACCAAGGTGTCCTTACAAAACGAGTTGGCTCAGGGCATTCGAGGAAGAGACCTTACGGCAATCTCCCTTTTTTCTTTTAGGGTTCTTAACGGAAGGGGGTTCATGGGGGTTTAGGTAATTATGGAACCTGAGGGAAGCTTGTGGAGCCTTCGGGAGCAGTAGGGAGTATTAGGAAACCTCGCGTTCCATACCCCATTTGAACCCCCCTCCCTTAAGAACTCGAGTTGGCTCAGGGCAATTCGCTGAAGAGACCACACGGCAATCTTTTCATCGCCGATCCAACCCTCGAGCCGGGCCAGTGCAACCGACGAAACGCTCATTTCGAACCCTGTCCTGCACCCTGAACCCGAAAACACATGAAAGCCCACGTAACCCTACAAAAACTCAATGACAACAAAAAACACCTGAAAACCCTAACAGCCCTAAACCCAAAAAAGCTCTAAAAGCCCTAAACCGGAAAAAAAAAATCCATTTTGCAGCAGGCTTGCTGGGTTCTCGCCTACCCCAAAAAAACCTATCCCTAAACCCTAAGCCCCCCTTTTTTCAGAAACCCGAAAAAAGGATCTCGGACGCCGAAAGGCCAAGCCAGAGGCGGCAGGCCGCCGCTTCCAAGCCTCTTCGTTTCTTGGGGTGCTGGGCTTTCGTTCAACTCCAGGGGGTTTAGGGTTTAGGGTTTGGGGTTCAGGGGTAAGGGTTTAGTGGGGTGCAGGCGATGTAGGGCTTGGGGTTTAGGGTTTTGGCAGGGTTTAGGGCTTAGGACTAAGGGCTTAGACCTTAGGGTTTAGGGCTTAGGGCTTAGAGGGCTTAGGGCTTTGGGTTCAGCATTCCGAGCTAGAAACACAAAGGTGGTTGGACAAGCAACTTAAAGCAAGTTAAACTATCTGACTTATTCTCAATTTATATATATATATATATACGTATATATATATTGATGTTTTTTTGTATTTATTTATTTGTATTTATATTTATTTCTATTTTTACATGTATCTTTTCATGTTTATTTAATGTATATGTATATTATATTTGAAGCATATTTATATTCGGTTCAAGGCGGGAACTCAGCCACTGCGTTTTTGGGGTTTTACTGCAGTGACTTCCCGCCTCCACAAAAGAAAAACAATCTAAAAGCCTTCAAGTCCCATATCTCGTGCTGAGACGCGATATTTGTGCTATATTTAAGAGATAAGTACCAAACTACATTTTGCGAGGGTATACGAAGCGTACGTTCCTTTTGCAAACCTTCCACGCTGAATCATCGGTGCTTCTGCCTAAGCAATGACGAAAAGTCAGGCCATTGGCCTAGCTAACTCGGGCCATGTTCTTGAAGTCAACTATTGTGATATTTCCACGACCGAAGCATTTCGGCGACTGCGTCTTCAACAAGTTTCGCGTCTGCTGCTCGTTCAAAGAGCTGTCCCGAGAGTGCGTTCTGTGAAGAGACTTCCCATCTTGGGTTGTGTAGTGTTATCCAGACCAGGTGTTAACAGGGTCTCAAGGTGCGATGGCTAAACAAGGTGAGGGAGTTAGTACTAAATTACCTGTCCAGCCGTGGAGACCTTAGCTGCCCAAGAGTCCGTCCATGAAGAGCACACGTTAATAACATTGTTTTACGGGTGAGTGAAACGCACGGCGTACAATATATAATATCATAACGTAGTGCATTCATGAGGTTGTTTCGTTCATGTGTTCACACCCCTAATAATCATAGTACTTTGAAGGGACCGCATGAATATTGCTATAATGTGGCCCCTTAACATTAATATTATTACAGGGATAAATATACAGACTTTCCTTAGGACTTTCTCCTCTATTCAGTTCACCCACGACATGAAGATACTAATCATAGATCCGTGAATGACATGAACGGGGAAAAGTACAGCTTCTTTCTATGGACAAAAGACGTCTTTCACCCTGTCATTTCTTTAAGAATGGCATTATTAACCCAATCCTTCAGAATCAACTTAGTCTTACATTTGCGTAAAAGCCCTTAATCTATTTCTGATTTTGGGGGGGTTGTCCTGTTTCTGAAGCTCTATTATTTGTATCCTTGTTTTGGACATCGTTGTATTTATTATCTTGTCCAACTTTAGGGATGTGGCCTGGAGAAGCTTTGTGAATTAACTTATGCTAATACACTTATTTTATGTAATGCTGCTATATCTTTAGGAAGTGCTTTTGTTAATTTAGGAATTTCCTCACAATATACTATTTTCTTCACTTTGTGGTCATTCTATTTATCTTATCTTTTTATTAGTTTGTGGATTAAAGAATTTCGTATTACGTTAATGATTCACTTTATACTCGTAGGTGTTTCTTTCTGTTTTCTTACAGCATTACATTTGTTTCTTCTAATTCTTGGTATTTGCTTCGTTTTACTATCTTGCTTTTCGCATTCACGCCTTGCCTAGCTCCAGATTTGGCCCGGCACGTGTGCGCATGCTTCAACAAACGTGAGAGTGCTGTATTGGTTTTTTTGGTCGGCTGCATAACTTCCCATGGTGTGCACAGGTGGAGTACAACAAAACTCTAATCCTAGTAAGCAAGGCTCATAGAAACTAATAAACAAACACCCATTCCCAAAAATAATGCAAAACAACAAAAGCCTAAACATGCAGGACTCGTGGGAAACTAGGACACCGAAACCAAAAAAATCAGACACAAAAACCAATTCCCCAAAACCAAAAAAACCAATACCAAAAAAATCAAAAATACCAAAACAACCAATTTTCCGGGACTTTTGATTCGTAAGCTTTATTTCCACAGCTTTCACAGAGTCCCGGAAAATTGGTTTTTTTGATTCTTTTGGTTTTTTTGGTATTGGTTTTTTTGGTTTTGTGGAAATTGGTTTTCTGGGCTTTCTGTGTTGATTTGGTTGGTTGTCGGTGTTCCTGTTCTCCCAAAAGTCTTGCAAAATTCATATTTTTGGGGTTTTGCCTATTGTTTCACATGGTTTCTGCGGTTTTAGCAATTCTGGCCTGATTGCTAAACCTCAAAAACGCAGCGGCTGAGAAACCGCTTTGAACCTTATATTCTTATCCATTTTCTGGCAACTGGATCCCAGTTCTTTCACAGAAACACTGGCACAAAGGGGGAATCAAGGAAACCAGGCAACCCTAAACCCCAAGCCCTAAACCCGAAACCACAAACCCTAAGCCCCAAAAAGCCCCGGGGCTGGGTGTTGGACGTGGCTTGGCGCACCAGAGTTGGCTGTTCAGAGACAGCTCGATACTGGGGTTGGTGTGGGGGCCCTCTACAAAACTTAGTTTTTTATGGCTTTTCAGGGATTGCATAGGGACTAAGGGTGATAATCATTTGAAAATTATGATCAAACCTCCCTAAATACCCTTTCCTTGGGGAGCTAAACTAAATTCGATTTTTAGGATCCGTACATAGTTTCTGGCCGGTTTTCTTCATGAAGGGGTATGATCCGAAACACTAAACTCAACCCAACAAAGCAGATGCCCCCCCCCCCCGGAAAACAAAACCCTAGACCCTAAACCCTAAACCCCTAAAAACCCTAGACCCTAAACCCTAAACCCCTAACCCTAAACCCTAAAACTTCACTGGCCTCCAGCTGGTCTTCCACGAAGCCCCGCATCTTAAAGCGAGCCTGGCGCCAGGAAGGCCCCGGGGCATAAGTTGCAGGGTTTTGGGGTTTAGGGTTTAGGGTTTAGGGTTTAGGGTTTAGGGTTTAGGGTTTAGGGTTTAGGGTTTAGGGTTTCACCGATGTTGAACGTTGCACTCGCGAGCCGCTCCAATCCTGAGACTCGCAGACATTGGCGCCCCACGTTTCTTCCGCAGCACTTGCAAACCTCGAGAGACTCCTCCTGGCCTTGAAACAAGGGAGTCATGCTCGGACCCCTGAGGATGTACCCCCTAAGAGCTTCCCTTCATATGCTTCTACTATGGCCCTTCTATGCCCTTGGGGGCATCTTCAAAAGGGTTCCCAAACCCAAGGGTACAACCTTAGGGGTCCAAGGTAGAATCCCATGATTGAAGTTACTTGGCCCTGCTCCTACCAGCACCCGGCGAAGAAGCCCCTGACATTAGTTGGACTGAAGAACTGTGGGCTCTCCAAGATAGGGGGACCCATGTTGAGGATCTCTAGAATAGAAGTAAGAGAATTTTGGGGTACACCAAAGGATACTCTGGGGCTTTACTCTCTTTAGCTTCGGAGGTGTCTGAGCACGAAGAGGAGATCAGACAGAGAGAGTGGGAGAGAGAGAGATAGAGAGAGAGAGAGAGTCAGAGAGAGAGAGAGAGAGAACTAAGCAGCTTCCTTTCGCTGACTGGTCCTTATGTTGAAGGCACACACACACGAAGCTGTTATATATGCACACACACCAACACACGGGGGACTTGGCTCCAGAGTAGCTTGGTGTAGTCGCACAAGGGACCTGAAGATCGTAAGGGGTATCCCACTCCCAAAGCCTCCGTGAGGGCGACAAAGGCCAAGTCCACCGGGGCACCATCACTGAAGGGCTGCTCTAGAAACTGGGCAAACCTGCGTCTCAGCGGCTTGTGACTCCATTGACCCGAACAGTCACCAAGGAATTGACACGTCGGGCTCTTTGGATCGAGTCACTGGGTAGAGTGGCTGCTCAGAAGGAAGGAGTTCCAAAGGTTGAACCATGAGAGAGAGACAGAGAGAGAGAGAGAGCCCAACACCCTTCAAGGGTAAACATACTGTAAGGTATGTTGCTCCATTAATGGGCATTTGGCTCCCGAAGAGGAGGGGGGATGGTTCACGACAGGGAGTGCTGTGTGATGCCGCCCAGCCACATGCCCACGAACGGGTCCAAGGCCGCCTTGGCAGCTGGGTTCGGGAGCTGCTGCTTCAACCCCCTTGTTTCTTTTTGAGGGTTTGGGGTTTAGGGTTTAGGGTTTAGGGTTTCGGGTTTCGGGTATTTTGGCACCCGCATAGCTGGACGAACCACTTCGCAGGGATTCTGGGTTTAGGGTTTAGGGTTAAGGGTTGACAGCTCGACCGTGGAACACCTAGCTTTTGCCCACGGTCAGCTGTCATTGATCTGCCGTGCATGCCAAGTATCAATGTTCGCCATGTTGAAGTTGAAGAAGCGCATGCGCACCGCCGTCGGCTCTTGAAAACCTGAAACGCCAAAGCTTGACATGACAGCCCGGTGCGCTGGGTTTTTGGTGCCCCAACAAAAGCTCAAAATCGACAAAAGAGTCGATCCATCGTGTCCAAACAGCCTTGCTTTCATGATTACACACGGATCCTGGCGACTCGTTGCACGCGCCCCTCACGCATTGGTAGGGCTTTGGGCTTTGGGCTTTGGGGTACTCGGTGCAGCCCGGCCACGCAACTCCATGTCCTTGACGCTCAAGGCATGGGAGCATCATGTGGAATGCTACACGTACTCAAAGCTTGCCAAGGAACTTCGCTTGTTCCGGGTGTGGCCAAGATCACTTCATACTTGGAGGTTCATGGGTACTTATGACCTCAATGATAACTGTACTTATAAGCCCCCTGAATCCCCGAAGTAGGCTACAAGTAGACGTTTAGTTGGTGGTATATAAGTTTTAAGTACCCCTAAACCCTAAACCCTAAACCCTAAATGCCCTTGAACCTCCAAGCGTTGGGTGCCCTTTGCGGCGCTCGAGCTCGGCCACAGGTCGGGGCATCTGAGCTCATCGCCGAGGCGCAGGTGCATCGGCAGCGGAACAACTGCTTCCAGCTGAGTCATCCTTGGCCCATACTTGGTAGGGTTTAGGGTTTAGGGTTTGGGGTTTAGGGTTTAGGGTTTAAGGTTTAGGCTTTAGGGTTTACAGCAGGGTTCAGGGTTAGGGGTTTAGGTTAGAAAGGCCGGTGGTCTCTTTTTCTGTTGCCCCTATACCTTCGTATAGCCCCTCGATACCCTAATAAGACCCCCCTACAAAACAGAAACCCTGCATAACAAGACCACCAGCGATTATAAGGTTTAGGGTTTAGGGTTTAGGGTTTAGGGATTCCAGCAACAGTCAAACAGACCCCTAGACCCCAAACTGCGCATGCGAAGCCTCCTTCACACAAGGTAACAGGCCAAGGTACCGGGCAGGCAAGGCGGCCCATGCCTGAAGCAACAAAGGCACGCCAAGGTTTAGGGTTTAGGGTTTAGGGTTTCGGGTTCAGGGTTTAGGGTTAGGGTTTAGAGTTTTGGGAACAAGATTGCAAGCTTGTCTTGAGGGCTCCAAACAAAGTAAGCCACACAAACGAAGAAGCTGAAGCACCTTGTGATGAGCTCCAGGCCCAATATCAGCAGCGCTACGCACCCATGGCGGCGCCGGGTGTCTCACGGTGGCAGAAGCCCCTGGGTATTGGTGTTAAGCCTGGGCCTTTGATGATTGTACAAAAAGACTGAGGGTTTAGGGCTTAGGGTTTAGGGCTGAGGGTTTAGGGTTTAGGGTTTAGGGTTTAGGGTACTTGGGGTTTGGGCTTGGGGGGGTTGGGGGCTTTGCGGGTTTTGGAGCGGCTATGGACCTGTGGCGCTACCCCTCGCGACCATGGCAACAGCTTCCTGAGCCCTCGCATGAATGCAACGGGCCACCTGGCGCGTCCCGAAAAATTCTACGCTTTGGGGTTCAGGGTTTAGGGTTCGGGGTTTAGGGTTTAGGGTTTAGGGTTTAGGGTTCAGGGTTCAGGGTTCAGGGTTCAGGGTTCAGGGTTCAGGGTTCAGGGTTCAGGGTTCAGGGTTCAGGGTTCAGGGTTCTGCAGCACCATCTCCGAAGAGCGAACATCGGGGTCAGGGTTCAGGGTTTAGGGTCTGGGGCTTAGGCTACTTGCAGTTCAAGGCCAACTACTGAGCAAGCCACGAACTGGTTCTGGATGCAAGTCAGCAAATGCACCCGAAGGGTTCCGACCTCGACCTCTCCACGGCCCTCTAAACTGATGAGTCCCTTCTATGCTCGGGGTTCCGAGTACAGAACAGAGGCTCTTCTCTTTAGGATGCCCGAAACAGGCCTCTCTCAGGCTTGAACAATAGACGCCTAACCCTACACCCTAAACCCTAAACCCTAAACCTTTAGACCAACAATGGCCGAAACCGTCACTAAAGGAAGCCTTGTCTCTCCACAAACTGCTGCTATCGGGGCGCACCGACTCTAGGAGGGCAAATTGTTTGACAAGCTCGCAAAACTTTGACGCACTTTTTCTTTAAGGGCTTAGGGCCCAGAGACTCCAGAACCCCTTAATTAAGGAATATACCTTAAATCATATTAGGGTTCCTATTATAATTTCAGGTGTATTCCTTACTTAAGGGGTTTTGGAGTCTCTGGGGGCTTCGGGTGTAGGGTGCCATCTTGGACTTAAGTCTCTTCTGCGATGCCCCCCCTGTCTGATACATGGAGTGACGGCGGCGCCACCATGTCGCTTACAAAAGCCCGAGGCCTACCGGATCCATTGTTTTTGGTAAGGTTCTTGAAGCCCCGTCTTCCGACCTCAACCCTAACCCTAAACCCTTAACCCTAAACCCCAAACCCTAAACCCCAAACCCTTCACCCGAAACCCCAAACCCTAAACCCGCGCCTCAGGCTCTCTGCAGGGGCGCCCACCGGCTCGTCCAGGGGGCCTCGGTGCCGCCAGGGCTTTGGGTGCTTTGGGGCTCTCACCCTCAACCCTAAACCCTAAACCCTAAAAACCAAAACCCTAAGCCCTAAACCGTAAACCCTAAACCCTAAACCCTAAACCCTCCCTTCGTCGGCAAATGGTTTTTTTCCACCCGGGGGGGGCCCTAAACCCTGACCCCCTTCGTCGGCAAATGGTTTTTTTCCACCCGGGGGGGGCCCTAAACCCTGACCCCCTTCGTCGGCAAATGGTTTTTTCTATTTGGGGCATAGGGTTTAGGGCTCGTAGGGTTTGGGGCATAGGGTTTAGGGCTAAATTTTGCTCCCAAAACACCCCAAATGAGGGCGACCCCACGATCGGCAAGGGTCCCAGTTAAAAATGCGGTTTTTTAGTACTGAAATCGACGGTTCTGGGTGGCGTCTCGTTTTCTGGATTTTTGACCAAAACCGAGCTTCACCGGCTTCAGGATTTCAAGTTTTTTCACGTTCTGTCAAGGTTTTTCAAAGTTTTTCCGTGTTTTTTTAAGGTTTTCAAATGTTTTTCAGGGTATTTCAGGGTTTTTAAACCCTCAATTTCTGATGACGGGCCACCCCGGCGACCTTTTCACAGCCTAGTTTTTGGTCAAGGGGGGGTCGTATTTCCCAGTTTTAAAAGCAAAATAGTCTTCGGAGACCCCCCCTTGCCTCAAACTCCGACCCCCCTTGAGAGGGAAAGTTTGCCTCCCAAAACACCCCAAATGAGGGCGACCCCAGGATCTGCAAGGGTCCCAACTAAAAAGGCGATGTTTTAGTACTGAAATCGACGGTTCTGGGTGGGCTCTCGTTTTCTGGATTTTTGACCAAAACCGAGCCTTCACCGATCGGGGCTTCTAAACCGTAGGGTTTAGGGCCCTAAGAGCATAAAGGGCTTATTGCGGGCCTGAGATTAAATTTCGGGTTTTGGGTCCGTTAAAAACTAAAATATTTTTGGACCAATTGGACTTTAAGCTTTAAGCCTACCGGGAAAGTATTGAGTGAACTTTATATTTTCTCAATGTTATGGGTTTCTTGGGTGGGTGGGACTTTTTTCCAACGCTTGACAAGCTGCTTGACTAGTGAATGCTCGAACTTGAGATGCTGAACCCTAAACCCTAAACCCTAAACCCTAAACCCTAAACCCTAAACCCTAAACCCTAAACCCTCTCTTACTATGTATATTTAAACCCTAATGACCTTCGTCGGCAAATGGTTTTTTTCCACCCGGGGGGGGCCCTAAACCCTGACCCCCTTCGTCGGCAAATGGTTTTTTTCCACCCGGGGGGGCCCTAAACCCTGACCCCCTTCGTCGGCAAATGGTTTTTTTCCACCCGGGGGGGTCCTAAACCCTGACCCCCTTCGTCGGCAAATGGTTTTTTTCCACCCGGGGGGGCCCTAAACCCTGACCCCCTTCGTCGGCAAATGGTTTTTTTCCACCCGGGGGGGGCCCTAAACCCTGACCCCCTTCGTCGGCAAATGGTTTTTTTCCACCCGGGGGCCCTAACCCAAAACACCCCCAAATGAGGGGGACCCCAGGATCGGCCCCGGCCCTAGTTCAAAATGCGATTTTTTAGTATTGAAATCGACGGTTCTGGGTGGCCTCCTGTTTTCTTGATTTTTGACCAAAACCGGGGGGGGCCCTAAACCCTGACCCCCTTCGTCGGCAAATGGTTTTTTTCCACCCTGCCCTAAACCCTGACCCTTCGTCGGCAAATGGTTTTTTTCCACGTCGGGGGGGGGGCCCTAAACCCTGACCCCCTTCGTCGGCAAATGGTTTTTTTCCACCCGGGGGGGCCCTAAACCCTGACCCCCTTCGTCGGCAAATGGTTTTTTTCCACCCGGGGGGGGCCTAAACCCTGACCCCCTTCGTCGGCAAATGGTTTTTTTCCACCCGGGGGGGGCCCTAAACCCTGACCCCCTTCGTCGGCAAATGGTTTTTTTTCCACCCGGGGGGGCCCTAAACCCTGACCCCCTTCGTCGGCAAATGGTTTTTTTCCACCCGGGCGGGCCCTAAACCCTGACCCCCTTCGTCGGCAAATGGTTTTTTTCCACCCGGGGGGGGCCCTAAACCCTGACCCCCTTCGTCGGCAAATGGTTTTTTTCCACCCGGGGGGGGCCCTAAACCCTGACCCCCTTCGTCGGGTTTTTTTCCACCCGGGGGGGGCCCTAAACCCTGACCCCCTTCGTTTTTTCGGCAAATGGTTTTTTCTATTTGGGGCATAGGGTTTAGGGCTCGTAGGGTTTGGGGCATAGGGTTTAGGGCCAAATTTTGCTCCCAAAACACCCCAAATGAGGGGGACCCCAGGATCGGCAAGGGTCCCAGTCAAAAATGCGATTTTTTAGTACTGAAATCGACGGTTCTGGGTGGCTTCTCGCTTTCTGGATTTTTGACCAAAACCGAGCTTCACCGGCTTCAGGATTTCAAGTTTTTCACGTTCTGTCAAGGTTTTTCAAAGTTTTTCAGTTTTTTTTAGGTTTTCCAATGTTTTTCAGGGTGTTTCAGGGTTTTTTAACCCTCAATTCTGATGATGGGCCATCCCGGCGACCTTTTCACAGCCTAGCTTTGGTCAAGGGGGGTCGTATTTTCCAGTTTTAAAGGCAAAATAGTCTTCGGAGACCCCCCCTTGCCTCAAACTCCGACCCCCCCTTGAAACACCCCGACCCCAGGACCGGCAAGGGTCCCAGTTAAAAATGCGATTTTTTTAGTACTGAAATCGACGGTTCTGGGTGGGCTCTCGTTTTCTGGATTTTTGACCAAAACCGAGCCTTCACCGATCGGGGCTTCTAAACCGTAGGGTTTAGGGCCCTAAGAGCATAAAGGGCTTATTGCGGGCCTTAGATTAGATTTCGGGTTTTGGGTCCGTTAGAAACTAAAATATTTTGGACCAATTGGACTTTGAGCTTTAAGCCTACCGGGAAAGTATTGAGTGAACTTTATATTTTCTCAATGTTATGGGTTTCTTGGGTGGGTGGGATTTTTTTCCAACGCTTGACAAGCTGCTTGACTAGTGAATGCTCGAACTTGAGATGCTGAACCCTAAACCCTAAACCCTAAACCCTAAACCCCACACACTCCTACAACTCAGGCGAGGCTGGATCCCACTTTGCCGTACCAGTGCATCAGCCCTCTAGCGAACAGCATGTAGGGTTTAGGGTTTAGGGTTTAGGGTTTAGGGTTTAGGGTTTAGGGTTTAGGGTTTAGGGTTTAGGGTTTAGGGTTTAGGGTTTAGGGTTTAGGGCTTGAAGGTTTTTATAGGGTTGAGGGTTGGGATGTTCCCCCTATAGGGATGAAAAATTCCCCCCGTTGTCATCCCAACTAAGGCCTGATCCCAAGTTTAGGGTTTAGAGTTTAGGGAATCCTAAACCCTAAACCCTCAACCCTGCTTCCTAAACCCTAAACCCTAAACCTTTCTTTTGCCACCCAGGGTTGAGGGTTTAGGGGCTTAAGGGTGTAGGGTTGGGACCAAGCTGAACGCCGAAAGCCACGAAGCTTTGAATCTGACCGAAAGAATGCTGAAGATTCGCGGGAGTTTGCTGCTAAGCAGGGCAGGTTCACGATGGTTCTCACCCACCCTTTTGCCTGCCATGAATACAAGTGAGGTTCAGGGTTTCAGCAGCACTCGTCTAGGGTTTGGGGTGTTAACGCTCAAGAGCCACGAGCTCTCAAGTAATTCCTTCTTCTGGGCTTCCGGCAACTGCAGCCCGAAGGTGCCCCGGCCGCAAGGGACCAGGCCTGAAAGAGAAGAGAGTTTAGGGTTTAGGGTTTAGGGTTTAGGGTTTAGGGTTTAGGGTTTAGGGTTTAGGGTTTAGGGTTTAGGGTTTAGGGTTTAGGGTTTAGGGTTTAGGGTTTAGGGTTTAGGGTTTAGGGTTTAGGGTTTAGGGTTTAGGGTGCGCTTTGGCGCACGTGGAGGTTCAGGGGCAGACGTTAGTCGGACGACAAGTACCCCAGAGAAGTTTGTAGAAGCACACTTATACATCCTACTTATAAGCCCAGTCGTCACTACCCATCAGCCTCCTCCAAGCAAACTGATCTGCATCACTTAAGGGGGCGACTCCTGCCTTGAAATGAAGGACGGTTTAGGGTTTAGGGTTTAGGGTTTAGGGTTTAGGGTTTAGGATTTAGGGTTTAGGGTTTAGGGTTTAGGGTTTAGGGTTTAGGGTTCAGGGTTCAGGGTTCAGGGTTTAGGGTTTAGGTTTTAGGGTATGGTACTGCGCGACCACCGAAGGACAGTCTTTCACAGATTCACAAGCATCGATCATGTCGCAACCAGCCCCCCAAAGCCTCACGAAACGGAACGCCCTAGACCCTAAACCCTAAACCCGAAACCCTAAACGCCTTCTGGCTCCAAGCCGGGGCCGCACGGCCCAACTTCTCGCAGCGCTTCTGCACCAGCCTGGGCTTAGAGGGCCGCCGGGGTGTGGGGCTTTATAGGGTTTCGGGTTTAGGGTTTAGGGTTTAGGGTTTAGGGTGATTTCCGCGTGGCTCACAGGCCACACTACCAGGGAGACATCGAGGGACCTGAAAACGTTCTAGGGCGTAGGGGTTCGTGGAGGTTTCACCGGACACCCAATCCATCCTAAACCCTGAACCCTACACCCGAAACCCTACTTGGAGGTTCGTGGTACTCGTTAACCAACTAGAACTGCACTTATAACCCACTTAGAAGCCCCTTAAGTGCCCTAATATGGTTATAAGTACAGTTATAAGTACAGTTTTCATTGGTTTTGGTTAATAAGTACCATGAACCTCCAAGTCAACCCTAAACCGCAGCTCTGGAAGCTCAGGTGCTGCCTCGTGGCTTGGAGAAGGAGCGCACGGCTGTTTTGACGTAGACGTTCTGGGCAGGGAGAGATTGAAACTCGGGGCATCCCACGAAGAAAGAGTCCTAAAACCCGAAAACCCTAAACCCTAAACCCTAAACCCTCAGCCTAAATCTAAGAAGTTCTAAGAAGCCCTGAGAAACCGGCCACCTCCACCCACGCAGAACTTTGTTGATTCGAGCCGTGCACATGTGAAGGCCCGGGGCCTTCATGTTGAGCTGGGTCTCATAGTCCCACCTTGGAGAGGCACCAAGCAAGAGACGCTCGCTTCCCCAAAAACAAAAAAATCTTACCAGACCTGCTAGACCTCGGGTCGCATAGGGTCTATGTAAGGGTTCCCCACTTAAGCGCCCCCCATAATTACCGGGAACCCTGCAGCGACCCTAGGAAGAACCCCAAAGTGGCTGTGGGTGGAGCTACGCAGCTACGAGTAGGGGAGCCGCTGCATCAGCGGCGCGCTCTTCTCCAGCGCGCTGCCATCGAAGGTTCGCTTGTTTCGGTTGATGCGATCCCTGGCTCTGCACAGCAAGAGATGGAAAAAGGGAAACCAAGGGGGGGGGGGTATTTCGGGAAGGGATGTTGGGGTATATAGGGGTATATATAGATATATATATATATATATATATATATATACATATATACATATATACACATATAGATATATATATATATATTTTTTTTTTTAGAGGGGGTATGCAGGGGTATAAGGGGGGGGATATAGGGGGACATGGGGTGCTTTTAATTTTTTTTGGGGGGGGGGTATGTGGGGAGGATATAGGGGCGCGGCTTTGAGAGCCAGACCCGGGCAGCCCCGAGCCCTGTTGTGACCTGGTTTTATTGGCACAGGCTTTAGGGTTTTAGGGTGCTGGGGTTAAAGGGTTCTAGGGTTCTGAGGGTTCTAGGGTTCCAGGGTTTAGGGTTTAGGGTTTAGGGTTTAGGGTTTAGGGTTAAAGGCTTTCAGCTTAGGGCAAAGAAGCCCAGGCCCAAGCCTCACTAGCCTCGGCTCATCCCCCGGAACTGCCTAGAGGTGTGCAGTGTCAGCTACGCCTAGGCAACTACAAATCCCTAAACCCGAAACCCCGAAAACCTCCCCAAACCCCAAACCCCAAACCCCAAACCCTAAACCCTAAACCCTAAACCCTAGTACCCTGAACCCTACCCACCCCGGCCTTGAGCCTTAAACGCTCCAGAAGGAGCCCCGGCCTGAGCTCCTTGAGGACAGGGACCTGGGGCCCCTCGGAGCCCGTCTTCAGCTTCTTCGCATCCTTTGGCCTGGGTGGGTGGTGTCCTACGTTTAGGTTTTAGGGTTTAGGGTTTAGGGTTTAGGGTTTAGGGTTTAGGGTTTAGGGTTTAGGGTTTAGGGTCCGATTTGGGATCCTTCTGTTTGTGGCTTGAGGGTCTAATGTCCTGAGGAGGCTTGCATCCTTGCACAGCGGCTAGGAGCACTGACTTTCGTGGGCAACAAACGCGTCTGTTAATGGAAAGCATAATATCCTGTACAGCATGCAAGCACCAGATTCAGTGCTGCGTCTTGCAAAAGCTTCAACCAAGAGTCTGCAGCACCCGAGGATTAAAAAAAATTGTGCGGGTAGCTGTCCATTGGCTTCTTCGCCACGCGAACGGAACTTGGCCAGGGGGTTTTGAGGTTCAATGTTGCCGGGTTCAGGTAAAGGCCTCAGAGCTCAGGGCGCAGGGCTTCTGGACTTAGAACCTAGAGGGTTTAGGGGTTTCCGTCTCACAACTAGACGTAGTGCTTGCACACATTGGCGTATGCGGAACATTTTGCACTGGGTTGCAAAAACAGCTCCCAGGCAGGTTTCTTCTTGAAACAGTCACGGAACATGACTTAGAATGACTTAGAAACTGAGACCTCTCGCAGCAAGGAGCTCAGTACGACTCCTCTGAGTAGCGGCCTGCCGCCTGGAAATCCTTGAACCAGAGCTCGGCCTCGGCGTCCGTCTTCGGGGTCGGCCACATGTCCTTCTCCGCCTGCGCCGGGGCATTCTCTCCGCGCTTGAGCAGGGCGGCCTTCAGGGCCTTCTGCACCGAGGGCGTGGCCACAGCGGGCCCGCACATGAAGAAGTAGCCGCCCTTCTCCAAAAGGTTGTCACTGATCAGCTCAGGCCGCTCCGCCATCTTGTCCGACACAAACACCTGCTTCGGTGGGTAGTGGGGCTTGTCGAACTGGAAGGCGCCCACGAGCGCGGTCAAGATGCCCTCCCTCTCGTACATCTTCCACTCGTCCTTGTAGAGGAGCTCCTCCTTCTCATGCCGGCAGCCGTAGAAGACCACCATGGGGCCAGTCTTGATGCCCCGGTTCTTCTTGTACAGCTTGTCCTGCATGAAAATAGGATTGGGGGGATTTTGGGGGATATAGACCCTCTGAATAAGGTCCCTGTTTAAGAGAGCCAGAAGAGGGTTCAGAAGGGTTCCCTTATTTCAGGGTCAACCTTATCCTACATAGGAGTCCTGCATGAAGGAGCGGATGGGCGCGATTCCTGTGCCGAGGCCAACCATGACCATGGGGGTGGTGTCGTCCTTGGGGAACTGGAAGGTGCCGCAGACCACAGCGCAGGCCACCTTCGTTCCGACCGGCATGTGCTGGATGAACTTGGTGCAGGTGCCGGTCTTCACGGCGCTGGTGGCCTTGGACTTCCACTGGTTGATGACGATGGTGAACTCGACGGCCTTGGGGCTGTAGCGAGCATCGGAGGCGATGGAGTAGATGCGCGGCTTGATCATCGGGAGCACCGAGATCAGCTGCTCCAGGGGCATCTTCGCACTGGGGTACTTCTTCATCAGGTCGAAGAAGGACGGGCACTCATCGACCAGCGCTGTCCAGGCCGCGTTGCCGGCCTGAGAGCCCAGGCGCCGGAGGGCCTCGGCATCAGCGTTGCCGGCAAAGCGGGCAAGCTCGGTCACGAAGGACCGGGATGGGCGGCCGAACAGGTCGAGCATGTTCGTCAGCACCTGCCGAACGGTCACGCGCTGGTCGAAGCAGCGGCGGTGGCGCTCGGACACGTCTCCCACGCACTTCACGCTGATGACCTTGTCGCCGTCCAGCTCCAAGAACTTCAAGGCTTCATCGACGTCCTTGGGCAAGTTCTCCGGGTAGACGGCGACCGCATCGCCCAGGTCGAAGGGGAAGTCAGCGCCCTGGAGGCTCAAGGCCAAGTGCCGGATGTCACGCTCGTAATCACCCGGAGTGAGGCGGCGGTTCTCTGTCACCGTCAGGAGCTGCGCACCCGGGGGGACCATCGGGGCGGTGACTGCGGCGGCATTCTCATGGTACTTCACTTCGAAGAGGGGAGCCTTGGGCCTGCCGTCGTCGACCGGCTCAGGTGCCTTGATGGCAGACCAGAACTGTGGCAACCAGGCCGTGAAGCCGGTCTCCCACTTGTCCTCGTCCCTGTCATCTCCGATGCCCATGTTCAGGATGCGGGTGGCGCCCAGCTTCTGCATGCGCTCCTCAATCTTCTTCGCTGCCTCACAGAAGGAGTCGGCATAAGAGCGGTCGCCCATGCCGAAGACACAGAAGCGAATGCCGTCGAGCTCCTTTGGCGACAGCGTCGTGGCGGACAGGCTGCTCCAGAACAGCCCCGCGTTCTGAGGGAAGTCGCCGTGTCCGCAGGTGGCGCACATCACCACGCAAGTGGCGCCCATGGCGGCTGCCTTCAGCTCTTCCATGTCGCTCAGCTCGTCGAGGTCGCAGGTCCTTCGGACCTGAACGCCACGCTCAGCACAGAGTCCTGCGAACTTCTTGGCCACTTGCTCCGTGACGCCCGTGTCAGAGCCGAAAGCGATGAGAACAGGCTCAGCAACGGAGTTGGCTTGCTTGAGGCCGTCCTTCAGCGCTGCCACATCCTGCGACAGCTCCGTGGCCTTCGCCTTGAGGCTGGCGTGGCGCTGCTTCAAGTACACCTGCAGCTCTCCCTGAAGTTTCTCAGCCACTGCTGGGGAGCTCCTCACGAGCTGGGCGTATCGGTTCTGGCGGTTCAGGAACTTCATGACGTCTCCCGTGACTTTCTTGGAGTCGAGGATGAAGGGGTTGTCGCCGGCTTTCGCCAACTTCGGGTTGAAGCGGTACAGGGGCCAGTAGCCGCATTCGACGGCATCGCGCTGGTCCAGCGACATCGCCGAGAGGCCTGTCTTGAAGAACCGATGCTCGATGCACGGGGCATAGCACATAAGCAGAGCAGGCCCATCGTACTTCTCGGCTTCCGCGAAGGCCTCCACGCACTGCTTGTAGTTGGCGCCGATGGCGACGGACGCGACGTAGACGTGCTGGTAGGCCATGGCCATGGCGCCCAGGTCCTTCTTCCGCTGGTCGCGGCCGGCCTGCGCGAACTTGGCCACCGCGCCCATGGGCGTGGACTTCGAGGACTGGCCCCCGGTGTTGGAGTAGACCTCGGTGTCCAGCACCACGATCTTCACGTTGTTGCCGCTGGCGATGGCGTGGTCGATGCCGCCGTAGCCGATGTCGTTGGCCCAGCCGTCACCACCGAACATCCACATCGAGGGCTTGGTGAACATGTCCTTCAGGCGGATGAGCTCGGCAATCTCCTTCGCCTTGCTTTTCTCGGCCTCCAGCAATGGAAGGATCTCGTCGCTGAGGCGCTCCGAGATGACGCTGTCCTCCCCAAACTCCAGCCACTGCTCCAGCAGGCTCCTCAGCGCAACGCTGAGGGACTTTCCCGCACGCGCCAGCGCCGCCTCCACCCGGTCCCGCAACTGGCGTCGCCGCTGCCGGACATGGATGACCTGGCCAAGGCCATACTCGGCGTTGTCCTCAAAGAGGGAGTTCCCCCAGGCCGTTCCTTTGCCGGACTCCTTGTCCGTGGCGTAGGGCACCCAGCCAGCAGTCCCTCCCCAGATGCTGCTGCAGCCTGTGGCATTGGCGACAATGAGGCGCTTGCCGAACATCTGCGTCACCAGCTTGGCGTACGGGGTCTCGCCGCATCCTTCGCAAGCCCCGGAGAACTCGAGCAGAGGCTCCTGGAACTGGGAGCCCTTCAGCGTGTTGGCGTCGAAGCGCTTGCCGCGATTTGGGATCGTCATGGCGTAGTCCCAGTTGTCTTCGTGGCCCTTGTCGATGGACTCCAGGCGGGGCAGCATGGACAAGGCTCCGACTGGGCAGGCGTTGGTGCACACTTCGCAGCCTGTGCAGTCGTTGGGAGAGGCCTGGATTCGGAAGTGAAGTCCTGCATAGGTGTTCCCACCTGTTGCCTTGCGCGCGTCGAAGGCTTCCGGGGCCTGCTTCAACTCAGCATGCGAGAGCAGGAAGGGGCGGATCACGGCATGTGGGCAGATGGCGCTGCAGACGTTGCACTGGATGCACTTGTCCATGTCAACCACTGGGACAGACTCGGCCACACCACGCTTGGCGAAACGTGTTTGAGAGAGCGGCACGCAGCCATCGGCCTCGACCTCGCTGACCTTCAGCTCGTGGCCTCGCATCGTCTGCACCTTGTCCAGGACCTCCGTGACGTAGGTCGGGGGCGTCTCGGCGCGGGACTTGGCGTAGACCACGTTGGGGTCGGACTCCAGCGCCGCCCAGGCGCTGGCGTTGTACTCGACGGTGCGCAAGGCCTCGATGGCCGCCTCCACAGCCTTGATGTTCTGATTGACGATGGCATCGCCCTTGTTCTTGTAGGTCTTCTTCACCGCGTCCTTCAGCAGCGACAAGGCTTGCTCCGTGGGCAACACGCCCGAGAGCTCGAAGAAGACCGCCGTCATGATGTTGTTGATGAGCTTGCCCATTCCCGTGCGCTTGGCGACGGCGCTGGCATCGATGGCACTCACCTTCAGCTTCTTCTCGCCGATAATCTTCCGGAAGGGGGCCGGGAGAACGGTCTCCAACTCTGCATCCGACCAGGGGCAGTTCAGCACCAGGGTGCCTCCATCCGCCAAGGGGCCCAGCATCAGGTCCGCGAAGAAGCTGAAAATGTACTCCTTCTTATGGATGGCCAAGTAGTTGCAGCCAGCATCGATGAGGTAGCTTCCCTTGATGGGCTCAGGCCCAAATCGGAGGTGAGAGATCGTGACGCCGCCGGACTTCAGGGCGTCGTACTTGAAGTAGCCCTGGGCATAGAGCGGCGTGTTCTGCGCGATGATCTTGATGGTGTTCTTGTTGGCGCCCACCGTGCCATCGCTGCCGAAGCCCCAGAAGATGCACTGCTTCGTGTGCGACGGGACGGTCTCCATGCGGTCGAAGGGAAGCGAGTAGTGAGTAACATCATCCTCCAGGCCGACGGTGAAGGGATGCTTCGGGCTCCTGGCGCGGAGGTTGTTGTAGATGGCATGGACCATGCCTGGGGTGAAGTCCTTGCTGGACAAGCCGTAGCGGCCGTTGATGACGTTGGCGTTGCACTTGGCTCGCTGGAGGGAGGTGCAGACGTCCAGGTACAAGGGCTCGCCGTGCGCGGCGGGGTCCTTCATCTTGTTGCACACGGCCACGGCCCTCATGGAAGACAAGTTCGGAAGCGCCGCCAGGAAATGCTTCTCGCTCCAGGGCCTGTAGAGGTGCACGTTGAGGCAACCGTAGTCCTTGGCCTTGTCGCCCATCTTGGCCAGGTACTCCTCGACGACTCCGGCTCCAGAGCCCATAAGGATCAAAACGTACTTGGCACGAGGGCTGCCGACATACTCGAAGAGGGAGTACTTGCGGCCGCAGAGCTTCTCGATCCACAGGAAGGCCTCCTCCACAACTTCCGGCACGTTCAGGTAGTAGGTGTTCGCTGCCTCGACGGCCTGGAAGTAGATGTCATCGCACTGCGCCGTGCCGCGGGCGTGTGGATGGTTGGGGTTCAATGCCCTGGAACGGTGGGCATCGATCTCCGGTGCCAAAAGGTCCACCACCTTTTGGAAGATCTCCTTCGGGTAGGCCTGGATCTTCTGAATCTCGTGCGAGGTGCGGAATCCATCGAAGGCATGCACGAAGGGCACCCGTGAGCGGAGTGTGGCGATGTGCGACGCCAGGGCAAAATCCAGGGCCTGCTGGACAGTGCTGCCGAAGAGGATGGCGAAGCCAGTCGACCGCACTGCTTGGATGTCGTTCTGATCACCGAAGATACTGAGAGCCTGCCCGGCAACGGCGCGCGCAGCCACGTGCATGACGCAGGGAGTGAGCTCGCCGGCGATCTTGTACATGTTTGGCACCATCAGCAGAAGTCCCTGGGAGGCCGTGAAGGTTGTGGCGAGGCCACCAACTGCCAAAGCTCCGTGCATGGCACCTGCCGCACCCGCTTCGGACTGCAGCTGGGTGATCTTCGTCACCTGCTCAAAGGCATTCTGGACGCCACCTGCCGACCAGGTGTCGCACATCTCCGAGAGGAGCGTGGACGGCGTGATGGGGAAAATGAACGCGTTGTCCGACATCTGGTAGGCAACCCAAGCGGTGGCCGTGGCGCCATCATCCGGGCCCCACTTGCCCTCGCCGCATTCCGAGCGAGCCGCCTCCAAGGCCGCTGCGATCCGGGGGTCGAGAACGACTTTCTTCGGCTTCTCCACGGGGGAGCCGCCCTTTGTCACGGCAAAAGCCAGGGCAGCCCCTGCGGCCGCGCCCACAACCCCTGCAGTGGCAACCTTCACAATGGAATCGGAACTTGCCATGTTTGGAAAACAGGCGGGGGGGATTCAAGCAAAGAGGCCGTGAACGCTATTTGAGCAAAAGGCTGAGGAGCGAACATGTACCATGAGCAGCATGCCGAAACACAGCGAAGCTGGCTTCAAGTACTAACTCTATATCTGAGCAGGCAACTCGGGCGGCGAATCTGGCACTTGTGCAATGTCGATTCTGTGCTGAGGGTTCAGGGCTGAAGACCATTTCTGCATCCCGAGCCAGAACCTCACGTCCCTGAACAAACGAAGTGACCGCGAGCGCAACATCGTCAGCAACGAGCCAAGCGACGCGTCGGCTGCATCCTCCGCTTTTCGCTTGTTGCCCGCCTCGTGTAAGTCAGATCTTCCAAACTACGCCCTGACCGCTGGCTGCATCAGTAAGCGCGGCACCAAAGGGTTTAGTTTGGAATCGTGTGCCGTTCTCAGGGCTTTCGGACTTGCTAAAGGCTTAGCCCAAGCAAATGCGCACACCACCAGAGAATCTATGTATGTGAAGCACACCCTGAGATGAGCCTACTTGAACCGCGACCATGCTTAACTCCCAAACTCTAAATCCAAAGCCCGAAAAAGAGTCCCACAACTCTCACTCGCATGCAGCAGGCAAGGCTGTCAACTCAAGAGTAAGCTTGTAGCTACAGTGTAGGGATAGGATACTGTAAGGCCCGACAAAGATATAGATCTTTGTATACAAAATTTTGTGTACATTTCAAAACATGTACCATGTGTGTATATAGTATATACATGTACACTCAAGGTTCAAGACGCTTCGCGGGGCCCCCGGCCCCTGGCGCGCCCTTGCCCCGGCCCTTGCCCTTCCGCCCCATGGCGCACTCCACGCGGAGGAAGGACTTAGGAGCCTGGGGGGGGGTTAAAAGTTCAGGGTTTGGTGTCTAGGGTTTAGCGTTTAGGGTTCAGGGTCCGGGGTTAGGGTTGAGGGTCTTGAGATTGTTGGAGGCTTTCAGGGCCTCTGGGCGGGTCACGGGCAGTTGGAAGGTCACGGTTCTTGCCTTCGCGTGCCCAGGAGGAACATGGGCGTGCAAGCGTTGCAAAGGCTCTTGTCGCTAGTCGGCCGAAAACGCCACATCTGAAATCTTCAGCTTGGAGCCAGGAGGTGGGTAGATGGACAGCTAGGCAGATCTAAGCTGAGCTCATCGATTTGAAAAGTCCGTCCAGTTCCCAGCAATTATGCTAACCTGCCTTAATTTAAGGGTAACCTTATTAAGAGGAACCTTGTTAAGAGTAACCTTATTAAGGTAATGATGGACCCAAGCACATCACGTTCTGTCAAGATGCAAGATCCATGGCATGCTTCGAGGTGCAGCACAGACTGGTTTTGTCTGCCCCCAACTTTCCTCAACTCCATTGATAGAGCCACCGACCGGACGCTCGGGCGCGCAGTATGTTGGGTTTGGGGCTTCGAACATGAAGCGCCCCCGGTCCTGGGATGGCTATCTGCCTAGCTGGCGGTTGCCAGCGGCTAAGCAGAGGATGTGCTCACCCACCCTGCCCTAGACTGCCTGCTGGCTGCGCCGAGACCAAACCTGGGTTCAACCACCACCGACCCTAAACCCTAAACCCTAAACCCGAAACCACACCTCGCTACAGCACATCTAAGCGGCTGCATTGGTGCCTCTTCGGCATTCAAGTAGCTGCCCGCAAGGGCATGGTACAACATTCGGCTCTGGAAACTTGTCTAGAGATGTAGTGAGACCTACTGCCGGCTACTACCACTGTGTCGAAGCTACCACTCCCGCCCCAAAATGCCCCAACCCCCCCCCCCCCCCCCCCCCCCCCCCCCAAAGCCCTGGAAACCTGAGAGGACACCCGACGACGACGCACTCCGACATAATCCGAGGATTTTTCAAACCAAGCGTACTTGGCAGGGGTGGTTACAAGTATGGCTGTAAGCGCCACAAATAACATCACAAAAGGTTGTAGCCTAACTCCAAGTATAACTACCCATGAACCTCTAAGACTCTAAGCATCATGTAAGCAACAACCCGCAACACCAATGGCGCCCTAGTACAAGATTCTGAGCAAGTGATGAACCACGAGCCCTTAAAACCAGCCGTACTGTACACCCCTGAGATCACTGAAGGCTGATTACCCAAGCCCCTTAATCATACTCCAGGCCCCTTAATCATACTCCAGCCCTTTCCAGAGATAAACTCAGCTACTCTCTGGCCTAAACTGGCATGCTCAGTACTGGCTGGGCATCATCTGCGTGGCTCTTCGGAGTACTCGTATTCTGACTCATAGTCCCTGTCCCTACCTGAGTCGTTCTGATAAGGGGCGCTAATCCTGCAAACCCTTCCGTCTATGGGCTGCCAGGCACAAGAACTTTTGTGATTAGGGAGGGGACTGCGAGAAGGTACAACCACACACCCTTGTCATCCCCTATCGCACACCAGAGTGGCGGCGGCGGCGTCCGCGGCCCTCGTCGCGGCGGCGACGCCTCCGGTCATCGCGGCTGTCATCCCTGGCACGGCCAGGTTCAAGGTTTCTTGATACACCTGGGGGCCCTATGGGCTCCGTGCCCCGGAAGGCTTCTCCTACATGCTACCTGGTGGCTGACAAGTGCCACATTCATGTCGCAAAGCCAGGCGGGGGCCTGCGGCGACGGCCCCCACGGCCGCCATCGCCGCGGCCTCCACTGGGCCTGTGGGGGCCCACGCTCTCTCTCTCTCGCCGACTCGGGTCCGTCAGCTGCCACTATGCACTCAAGAGCTCTAGACTGCTCCGAAAAAGTCACCCATGTAGCAAGATGGTTCTCTGCTCGTTAAGGGCCTTTAAGGGTCCGGGGCTGTAGTTACTGTAGGGCGTGTAAGGGTTCAGGGGGTAGCACTGAGCTTTTGAGGAACCCGGCGGGCTGTGGCTCCCCCAATTGCTCCCAAAGAAAACAGGCGCCCGAACCTGGTCTCCCCGCAGGAGAAGCACGTATCCTTGCGGCGGGCATCAGAAGGTGGCCGGGTGGTCACAAACCTACTGGTTCTTAGGCAGGAATGAGGGAACCCTCTATACCCCTACATAAACCCTTTCAGGGATTGTATGGGGTACCTAATTCCCCCATTCCCGGCTAAGAACTTTTCAATCTCTCAACCCGAAGTCCTGAAACCCACGCCAGCGGCCCAGTCCTTGGCCGCAAAGACCAGCTTCCCGCAATTCGGGCAGTTCCAGTCGCCATCACGCCGCTCGATGGGTCCCTTGCCGCCTCGTCTCGGGCGTGGGCACCACAAACATGTAAACATTTTGAAACATGCTTCTGCAACACATGATGGTCGCCTGGGTAACCTTGGGTAACCATTCTTCTAGTGATTTCTCGGGCTTAGGGCCATGTTCAGCACTGGGAGTAAAGGGTGAACTGTTACCCTGATCTGTGCGGGCGCCGGCTGCCTGGATTGTTCACCACGCCCCTCAGGCCCCCAGGAGCATTCCAGGTCAGCTGTGTGTCATCTATTCCTCAGATGCTCTGCCCTCAACCCTGAACCCTAAACCCTAAAACCGCATGATAATGTGCCCACTCTTGGCATCTTTCTCCAGTACTGATTGGGCACAGGTCGCGGCAGAAGCTGCAACAACTGAAACCGTAGAGTACACTGGAATAAATGGGAACATACTAGAACACGCTGGAATATACAAGAAAATACGGATAGGAATTTACTAATCGGAATACACAAGAATATACTGACAGGAAGATACTCTTCGAAATATACTCATCGGAAATATACTCATCGGAATATGCTAGGAATATACAAGAGCATACGAATAGCAATGTACTGACACTGACACTGCCTGGGGGGCCACAAAGGCGAGCAGCTGACGCCCATATCTTTGAGCTCCTCTCTCATGCGATCGGCCTGGCCGACTCAAAAGACCAGCTGTAAGTTTTAGGGTTTAGGGTTTAGGGTTTAGGGTTTAGGGTTTAGGGTTTAGGGTTTAAAGTTTAGGGTTTAGGGAGAAAAAAACAACCTGCGCTTGGCCATGCTATCCTTCAGGTTCCCAACGGCAGCCGCCCGTTTCAGCTTCACAGGCGGCCCTTGCGTCACCCTGAACCCTAAAAAACCCTAAACCCTAAACCCTAAACCCTCAACCCTAAACCCTAAACCCTAAACCCAGAGCCAGCCTTGTCAAAATCGCGGTCGCGCCGGGCCGCCTGCCTCTCGTCGACCATGTCCTGGATTCCTGGTGTGGGGGGGGGGGGGGCTTCACTTGGTATGTTATTGCTGCTCCGAAAATATTCTACGTCTAGGCTTTAGGGTTTAGGATTTCAAGTCTACTGCAGGGTTGTTCTAGTATATTAAAATATTCTAGACGATGATGTACAACATACTCTGACATATCAAGTATATTACCGCAGATGACAGCATGTTATAGTTCACTAGGATATAGTCTCGTAGGTGTCTTGGTAGCGCAGCGCAGGTACCCCATGTCTAATCTCCTCCCCACCCCCCCCCCCTCCCCCACACCCACCCGCCCCCTCCACCCTTCCCAACCCCCCCTTCCACCTCCCCCGCACCTCTATGCGGACCCACCCGGCTTGTTCTTCTTGCTTGACTGCTCACATTTGGGGTTACACGAGCCCGCGTGTTGCAACAGGACCTTTGTATATGTGTGTGTATAGATATATAAATATATATATATATATATACATACATATATATATGTGTGTGTGTGTGTCCATGTATGTATGTATGTATGTATGTATGTATGTATGTATGTATACAACGTACTCGGTTGTAGCAGGTCATGGCATTTCTTTTATCAAAGCCATTTGATGGTCTGAGATGTTACATGTAGTGTACAGTAGATGACAATATGCCTTACTAGTACCTGAGTGCGAAACGAATCAGGAACCAAGGGAAAGGCCCCTGGGCAGAGTCCTCAACATCCTAGTAGCTCGTGCAGCGTGCGGACGCCCCTCGTGCAGATCAACATGCTCGCCACCCTTCTACACCCTAAACCCTAAACCCTAAACCCTAGGATCCATTTTCGACAAGTATCGATCCGCATCACCCTCGCGGCCCCTCGAGCGGGAGCGGGAGTCAGATCTACCTCGCCCCATAACGTCCTAGGGTCAGGAGCGGTTTGAGCCTCAACTGCGTGGTGCGCGGCCGTGAAGAGGAGAGGATGCGTTGCCATGGTGAGATGCTTGGCTATCCTCAAGTGACGCATCATGCCTAGTATCCTTGAAAGGGGCAGGGTGTTCAGTTCAGGGTGCATGAGGTCCCACCGGGACGAGGGAATGGTCTGCGTGGGACAGCTCCTGCCTGTATGCATCCACGCGAAGCACCGACAAGCCCGAAACCCAAGCCGCCCAGCAACCAACCTGCTTCAGGCTTTTCCGACCAGCTGGGCCCCGGTCAACGCAGCACAGGGCAGCCACAGAGAAAGCAAAACTACGGAGATTCGGTTGGTTTTGACGGGAGGATCGAGGCTTCAAAAGAGCTTCAGGGACAGCTTAGGCAACGTGACTCCACCGGACTTGTCTCGAACCAATCCCCACGTCAGAAGCAGATGGGACAAAGCGTTAGTGATGTGAGGCAAGGTTTTCTTGATAGTATCTCCAATCAAAAAGGACGCCACATATATACACTCACCACTCTTGATAAGGATCCAGCCCAGGTGATGAGAAGACTGTCCAGGGCTTAGCCCATGGAACGGCAGCTGAGACGCTCAGTCAAGCAGCTACTTCAAGAGGCCCTTCCAATTGTCTTTTTCCTCAGCTGTCTCGGGATTAGGGTTCAGTCGCTCACTCTCGCACAAGGCCGGCAAGGTTCGATTAGGGTTCCGGGATTTAAGGGCCAAACTGCTTCTGAACAGAACTCCGACTCTGCAAGCACGTTGGATGCTGAAGGTTGAGGTCTCCATTCTTGTGTTCTTTTCTGGGGAAGGGGTTCCATGCGAGTTGTTCGTGTTCTGTACACACAAAACAACTGTGGGATAGAATGAAGGACTGGGCATGTTGATCAGTGCGATCTTGATTTTTGCGAGGAAAAGCCTCTCTGACGATTCTAGCGTGTGATGATTGCGGTGTCCCGTGGTTTAGGGTTTAGGGTTTAGGGTTTAGGGTTTAGGGTTTAGGGTTTAGGGTTTAGGGTTTAGGGTTCAGGGTTTAGGGTTTAGGGTTTAGGGTGTGATGGTTGTTGCACTTGCGGGCCCCAAGTGTCGTTCTGCTTGGTCAGCATCACGTTCAGCTCAGTGCCACCATTGACCAAGCACCAGGTGCACTCGTCGGTCTCCACCTGCTTCTTTTGGGGTCTTTGGGTTTAGGGTTTAGGGTTTAGGGTTTAGGGTTCAGGGTTTAGGGTTTAGGGTTTAAGGTTTAGGGTTTTGGGTTTAGGGGGAGGGCTGTATTTGGTGGTTCTCTTGCTTGGAGTTCCGTCGCGCAACAGCAAGGGCTTGTGCCCCCCCCTACATGCCGTGCATTACCAAGAACTCATGGCCCATTGCCTGAACCTCTTCGTGCGGGGCCAATGCTTTCAGGTGATAGTTCCGACAAGCCTACAACAGCCCAATCGCGCGGCAACGGGCGAGCCTTGCCACCTAGCGTGCCGTCCAGCAATGTCTTGCCTCGCTGTGTTTGACATCGGGTGGCGAAAAGGATTGAGAGAGCTTGGGATGTACCGGTGCATGGATTTCAGGGAACTCATGGCTTTGCTTCACTCGGGAGCTCTTCCGCGGACGCCTGACGTATGCAGTCGTCACACGTCACGGCCGCAGCTTGCCACCGAAACCCGCACGCGCTGCCGAGCTGCCGCCGGCGAGGACAGAAATGGTCGTCTGCTTGAAGGCGACCTTGACCTTTGGCTCCACTTGGCACCAGGGGGAGGAACTCTCAAGCTTCTGATGTTCGGGTGTAGCGCTTTGGGTGGAGCTTGAGGCCTTGGGTCAGGGAGCTGGAGCACGAATCGATGCTGCGACAGCAAAGCTCCAAGTGATTCCGGGCATGCCTCCTTGGCGGTAAGCGCACAGATGCCAGGCCTTTCCTTTCCAGGGCCTGCAAATGCTGAGGTCGCGGCATCCTTCTTCGTGGTGGCCTGTGGCAGCCTCAGTGCCCCGCATAGGATGAGTTGGGGGGAAGTCAAGCATTCCCAACCAGCAAAGCCACTTGATGGCAATTTGCACCTCTTCGCCTGGACAGGGCCGGCTCCTGCTAGAGATTAAACTTCTGCCGTCGCCCGAAGCATCCCGAAATCCCTGCCCAAAGACGCGAGCCCAAACTCAGACACGCTCGCCGCGCCTTTCTGGCTCCAGGTGTATCCATCCTCGGTGGGATAGGCGCCGACGCACCCCGAAGCACGACACCCCTGAGGAGTAGGGGCCTCCGTGTGAGCATCCTTTGTGCCGGATGCAACAGAACGGCCCTAAATCCTCAACCCGAAACCCGACACCCTGAACACACCTGAACCCTCCAAACCCCAAACCCCAAACCCCAAACCCCAAACCCCAAACCCCAAACCCTAAACCCTAAACCCTACACTCTAGCTAGTGAACGGACACCCCAAGAGTAGCCCTCGTAACGGCCGACCTCCTGAGTCTCCACCTCTTCCTCCGCGGCAGGTTGGGAGCCGTAGCCCTGGCCCTGGCGAAGGAGAGAGTCTTAGGGTTGGTTTCGGGTTTCGGGTTTCGGGTTTCGGGTTTCGGGTTTCGGGTTTAGGGTTTAGGGTTTAGGGTTTAGGGTTTAGGGTTTAGGGTTTAGGGTTTAGGGCTTAGGGTTTTGGGGGTTTGGGGTGGGTTGGGGGCTTCTTTTGCGCAGGGGTGTAGCTTTGGGACTTGGGGTCGGTTGAAATGAGGGCATTGGGGGTTCAGGGCTTCGAAGGCGCTTTTTGCGTGTAAGGGCAGTGGCTCTTCATGCGTATCCTGCCAGGGGAAACCCGGGCCTTGCCACCTCCCTTGCTGCCGCCGCCTTTGCCCATCATGTTCTTGAGCTCCCTGAAAAGTTTGCGGAACGTCCGGGCTTGGGGGTTTAGGGTTTAGGATGTTACTCCGCGCTGTCTCTGGCATCCGAGCAACTGAGGTTTGGGGTTGAGGGTCTCTGCTTGTGATCCTTGTACATTTCGTGCCTGGCGGGTGAGACTCACGTCTTCACTCTTCGAGTGCAGCAATTGAGAGTAGCACAAACCAACAAACCAGGAGTTTTCTGTCTGGAAAGGACTGGAAAGAGGCCAGCACACCTCATGCACGACAGCTGCGCGACCCTAAAGACTCCATCGACAAGCGCCGCAAGAAGCCCCCAAGCAGAATGGTTTGGCCAGCAAGATCCATCAAGTCGGGAGTTGATGAAAATAATGCGCTTCAGGGGTCTCCAACATATTCCTGATCAAACCAAATACGCCTCTTTTGAACTCTGACCTTTCAACGGTAGCCCTTGGTAGGTAAAGGCGACACACAGACACAGCTCCCGACTTGAGATCAACTTGCTCCAGGAATTGCATTCTGATCAGCTGGGCGGCTCCATGTTCATCCCACCCGGACCGGAGTCCTTCTCATCTGGCAGCCTTGACGCACAACAAGCCACAGTAGCTAGCCATCCCTTCAGACCAAGATCAAATGACACCTTGATACAGGTTCCTATAAAGTCCGCAGGCCGAAGGTTGCCAAACTTCCTCGGGAAGGAGCGGGTGTTCGATTCCGTTGATTCACAGCGCGAGTCTTGCAGGCCTTGCCCTCAAGGCCCTGCGCTCAGAAAATCAGAACTTGTTGCTGGGTGTGACCTTCTTAGGGGTACGTGTAACCCTTGCATTAGTAGCCCCAGGTAAACCGACGGTTTGGGGGGCAACCACTCTCAAACCCGGTGTCATGACCCTTTTTAAGGGTACCCAGAATGGGTCTGAACCCTAAACCTCCAACCCTAAGCCCTTTTTGGATTCGGAATCCTCCACCCTAAAGCCCTAAACCCTCAACCCTCAACGGGAATGCTCGAGGCCCCTCTTGCCGACAAGCGTCGCACCGAGTTTCTTCTCGAACCTGTCAACGGCATCTTTGGGTTCATGGAAGGCATCTGTGAGGGTCACCCTAAACCCTTTTTTCCCTAAATCCTAAACCCCAAACCCTAAACCCTAAACCCGAAACCCGAAACTGCCTGGGGTCCTTTCAGTAGGAAGACCCCGCCAAGCAGACCAGCCGCACAGCCAGGGGCAACAAATTTTGCAAACACCGATCTCACTTTGGAGAGTCTTGGCTAAGGACGAAATGAGGACTCTAATGATGGCACTTTTGCCTCAACCCTAAACCCTAAGCTCTAAACCCAAAACCCAAAACCAATCACACGAAATCTGAGGTGCACGCCACTCTCTCCTTCCCTCGGCCGGGGGATTGAGGCCAATCTTGTCGAGCCTGCAGTCTGGGCGCGAAGCTGCGAGTCCCAAAAGGCGTCGAAACAATGGAGTGCTTAGGGTTAGGATTTAGGGTTTCGGGTGTTAGGGTGTTAGGGTGCTAAGGTGTTAGGGTGTTAGGATGTTAGGGTGTTAGGGTGTTAGGGCGTTAGGGTGTTAGGGCGTTGGGGCGTTAGGGTTGAGGGAATAGGGCTTGGTTCACAAGGCGTCCGGCCGTTAGCATGATCTAGGAACATCCCCAAGCCCTAAACCCTAAACCCTAAACCCTAAACCCTAAACCCTAAACCCTACAGCTGCCAGGACGAGGGGCTCTGCCCGGAGCCCGTCGGATGGCGACACCTGCATTGGGGGGTTCTGGGCTCTAGAGATTCCACCTTGGACCTCTTTCTAAAGGTCCTTGGAAGGGAGCATGAGAGCCATGTGAGGAGTAGATTAAGGGGAACCTCCAAGGGTACAACCTTAGGTCTTGGGGGTACGAGCCTTCATCCCTTGATGGGTTTCGAGAACCCGACGCTTTGGCTTAAGGGCGCTGGGCACTCGCGCAAGGCGGGCACGGCGGCCGTCCGAACACATGAGGAACCTACCGCGCTGGCATGTGGCAAGGTACCATCTCCAAGACAAGAAGCCAACGATGCAGGTTGGGTGGGGCAGAGGCGACTTCAAAAAAAGAAGCGGTTGAGACACCTCACCCGTGCACCCACATCGACGGGCGTTATTAGAGGGTTTCGTGTTTCAGGGATCTTTTGATTAAGGCTTTGGGCTCTATGTGTTCTTGATATCGATGCTCGCCCCCGCTCCCAATTCTTTTTTGACACTGTGCTCGCCGGCAAAAGCGATGTTAAAGCTCCCCCTTTGAGGGACCGTGCTTCGTCATCGTGTAGACCTGGGCACCGGGTTGGGCTGCTTTGGGACTTCGAGCCTGCGATCTGGACCTCACATGGATTGCAAGCATCTCAAGGCAAGTAAGCTTGGGGGGTCTGTATAGGGTTTAGGGTTTAGGGTTCAGGGTTCAGGGTTTAGGGTTTAGGGTCTGTCTGTGTTGTAGGAGTCGGGAGTCCGGAGTCAGGATCTTGCTACGCAGCGTTCCTCAGGGCACGGCATAGTAGTCGTCGTAGCTCAGCTTGTAGTGCACGTCCCAGCCGTAGGAGGCATTGTCTTAGATGAACTCAAGAGTCAGTTGCTCCAACATCCTTACTCACCAACCCTGGCCCTGGATAAGCCCCTCTACCCTAAATCTGGGTTGACGAAAAGAGTGGACCTCTCAGAAAGACCCCGCAAATTGTAGGATCCCTGAAAATATGGACCCCAAGAAGGTACCCCAATATCGCAAACCCCCCAAATCTCAAACCCAGTTCGTGAGAAGCTTGGCAGCTGGGTGGCTGAAGAACTGCTCGGTGTTCAACTCCTCAGGCTGTCCCAAAGAGATGGAGATGAAGCCTGGAGCCACATAGCGAGGTGGGCTCAGAATTGTGGGGTTCCGGGCTTGCTTGCAAAACTACGTCTCATAAGACCGATGTTATGCTTTGGAGCCCTTGCGAACTTGGAAGTCTTTAGAGAGTCTTTGAACTTGAGGGGATGTTCCTTAGACATTCGATTCCCTGCTCAAGCCAAGCAGCGCCCACCAGGTCGTAACACGCGAGAGAACTCTGTAAACATCAAAGGCCATTCACCGAAGGCGCCTTAAGTGGCTTGGCTTGATATGACTTCGGGGGCCGGCGGGTCAACTGGGCCCCTAGAGCATGGTAACTTCATCTATAAACAAGAGCCTTGCAAACGACAAATCTAACGACTACGGACCCACAACCCATCTTGGACTTCGGCGACGCCCGGTGAAAAACCTGCCGCCAGCCCTGCATGCTACGAGTCTGAAGGTTTAGGGTTTAGGGTTTAGGGTTTAAGGTTTAGGGTTTAGGGTTTAGGGCTTAGGGTTTAGGGTTTGGGGTTTGGGGTTTGGGGTTTGGGGTTGGAAGGAACCGCGGAAAGGTCAGCCATGTCATGTAGCCCAAGGCTCCCTCGCCATCCATCCTTGGTCGGCTCTGCACTGAGGGCCATCACACAAGCCCTAAACCCTAAACCCTAAACCCTAAGCCCTAAACCCTTTTTGCATCCCCACGGGAAAGCCCTAAACCCTAAACCCTAAACCCTAATTAAACCTTAAACCCTAAACCCGGATGCTGATGCTTGGACTCCTACTGTGATCCCTGCAAGCATCGGGGCCTGGAACGGGCGGGGCCTGGAACGGGCGGGGCCTGGAACGCTGAGAAACAAATCAGTAGAAAGCTTGCACGCGAAATGTTGCAGACCTGCCCATGGCAGCCAAATGGTACACACTGCACGCCAAGAATCAAGGCCTTCTCTATGACGACGTCGAACCTTGCTGCAGCAATGAACCCGCCTCGAACCCTGCAAAGACTGGAGCATATTTGATCCTCCCGCGCAAAAACAAAGATATTCAAGCCTTCCAAATCCCAGGGCTCATTTCTGCAAGCTTGTCATGCACCCCTCATATCAATCTCTCTCTATATCTGGTGCTGCACGAGGGCGACTTGTCAGCAAATTCTGGCATCTTCCGTGCGTCCGAAAGGACCCACCTCAGCCACGAGGGATCTGCTGGTGCAACTTCGGCTCGACCCCATGATATTCAAAGTACACACTGCTAGATCTTGCTATACACCGCCACTTACTGCTTTTGCTATTTCTACCTGTAGCTAGACCTATTTTCTATATAATATAGATGGTTGCATGTAGATTTACGTGTACATATATATATATATATATGTGTATATATATATATGTATATATATATACATATATACATGTACACTTGTGTATATACACTCCGATCTTGCGGCAAGAACTTAAGCGCTCCCCGACGCGGCACCCTGCATGGAGCCAGGCTGCTTGAGCTTCGGGAACCGCCGCTTTTGCAGAGCGATGGCCTGCCTGGTTTTTAGGGTTAAGGGTTGAATCATATTAGGGTTACTGGTTTAGGGTTTAGGGCTTAGGGTTCGGGGTTTGAGGTTTGGGGTTTGGGGTTTGGGGTTTGGGGTTGGGGGTTGGGGGTTGGGGGTTGGGGGGTTGGGGGTTTGGGAGTTCTGTCAAATTAGCTGCCCCCTCTCTCCGAAAACATCTAAGGTGGCAACATGAAGGAGCCAACATACGGAACAGCAACCCGGAAGTACTGCGTTAAGCAGAAATGCCAAGCACCTGAAACTTCGGAAGGAAGACAATGCGAAGACACAAAGAAGACCTCCTCCAAAAGAACAAGCCAAAACCCGATCCTGTTCTTGCAATCGCAATTCAGTCACACGGCCGTCCCTTTCGGGCTCTGACGAGCCAGGCGCTTGGCCCGTGTTCCTGCACACCCTCGGAGCTCAACAAGGACAAGCCGCTTGCTGTAGTCTGCAGCCGTCACGTGCCGGAACCCGTCCTTCACCTCGGAAGCTCGAGGAGGTCAGGATTCAGAAGAAAAGCTGAGTCGAACATGCCGAACTTTAGGCGTCTTTCTTGCATGAGCTTTCCGCAGCTGCGTCCCTGCTCGTGATGGGCTCCTATTGTGAGCGACGCAGACAGCACATGAAGGAGCGCACGGGCCCAAAGACTCATTCTGGCTTCCTCAATCCCAAGCCCAACCCTCCACTGACCGAAGGCTCAAGCTTCCGAGGTGCCAGGTCCGCAGGAAGCGCGCTGTTCCCGCAGCCGATGACCAATATCTCCTTGGACTTCGTGGGCATCAGCTTCCCACGCAAGCCACCATCCCAGACCCCTGTCCCCACAAGGGTTCCCAAGAAGAACCCACTGGTAGTGATAGGTTACTATTTGGGGGTTCTGCTTTTTGGATGCTCCCAGGGGTCTGGGATGGGGGCGAGTTTCCGGAAGAAGGATTGATTCCTTCATCCCCAGAGCACAATCCCTGCATTCACTTGAACCAGCAAAAGCACTCCAAGCAAGTTTTGGGGCCGCTCAGGAACCCAAACCCCTAAACCCTAAACCCTAAACCCTAAACACTAAACCCTAAACCCTAAACCCACCCAAGAATTACTGAAGCAGCCATGACGTCGTCACGTTTTCGCAGGGGCGGCCCACCCACATCGCCCCGGAAGTTCTGCCAGGAGCCATACCAGTCCTCGTTGTGGTTTAGGGTTTAGGGTTTAGGTTTAGGGTTTAGGGTTTAGGGTTTAGGGTTTAGGTTTAGGGTTCTGGTACAGCAGTTGCGCCGGAACATGCTCGCCAACGGCGTTTGCATGCCACACGTTCATCAACCCCGCTGCGGGCTCCTTCCCGCTGGCTGATCGAGGATCTGCATAGATGTTCCTTGGTGAGTTAGGGCCCCGGTGCCTAAGATCGAATTCGATCGCTGAGTACGTAAACCGCTTACAGAACTGCACCAAAATCGGCGTCACTCCAATGTCGTGCACGGAATGCCAAGGTGCTTGGGCTGCAAAACCCTGAAGTCCGACACATTGCGCTCACTGCTGGCAGCCCGAACTCAGCAGACTTAGCACTTGCATCGGGCGTCTCCCAATATTTGTATCGCTCCTGCTGGGACATCTCGAGCTTTCCATCCCCTCAGTGCAACTGCTTCGCTGCATGACGCGTGGAAGGTATTTAGGAAATGCGCACTCTGCCTCAGGAAAACAGGTCAAGAAGCCTAGTATAGGTTCAATCATCAAACCAGAGAGCCTGGACCGAGTCTGCAAGAAGCTATGGAAAGACCTCCCTCATATCTTTGTAGCAATCCTCGGGAGTGGGGCCACAAGGCACTCGGCCGTGCGGCGCGACTCATCATGAAAGGCATCCTGCTGAGCAGCCGTCAGCAGAAGAAGGCACCCGCAGAGCTGGAGCCGGGCGCAAGCTGCCACCATGCCCGAACGCGCGCTACTCGCAGCACGAAAGGAGCAGGAGTTCTCTGTGGGTTCTGAATGGGACGTCACATTTTCAAAGTGTAGTAAGCTCTCTCAGGCCGGTCCGATGTTCACGCGCTCATGGGTCTCATAACCCCAATTATCAGTCTGCTTTTAATCTACTGAGAGGACATAGAGGGCTTTTTAAGTACAGATATCGTTGGGGTTACAAGTGCCTTGAACCGCCAAGTACAGACACAGAGCCTAGACTGCGGGTTCAACCCTAAACCCTAAACCCTAAACCCTCAACCCTCAACCCTAAACCCCAAACCCCAAACCCTAAACCCTTAACCCTAGACCCTAGACCCTAATCCCAAAAAGTGAAGGCCTTGAGTTGCTCCGAGACAAGGTCGTACCGTTGCATGACGGCCTCGACGAGGGACCTCGGCAAGGCACCCCATGTAGGGTTCAGGGCTGCTACGGTTTAGGGTTTAAGTTTTAGGGTTCAGGCTTGTTACGGTTTAGGGTTTAGGGCTAGGGTTTAGGGTTCAGAGTTTAGAGTTGAGGGTTAGGGTTTAGGGCCAGTTTAGGGCGTACTGCTGGTTTTGTTGGGGTGGGGATGGAGTAGCTGAGTAGAAGTACTGGGTATACATGGCGAGTATTGCCTCCACGCCTCCGTAAGCATGACGACGAAAGAAGTTTTGAATGCCAGGGGCCTCCCGATGTCTAAGACACTAAGACGCGCATCGATAGAAGCCAACTTTAAACTTGTGACCCCCTCAGCTTCCATGACAAGCCATTCTCTTTGCATTAATCTATCGGAAGTCCCGCGAAGCCCGGACTGTAGCTGGGAGCCCTTGCAGCCCCGCACGCTGCGCGGATGCCTCGTAGGCCGCTCGGAAGTCTTTGTGGCCTTGCCATGGCTTGCCCGAGCATCTTTGCGGGTCCGTTTTGGAATGCTTCGGTTGTGTCAGAGTTGAGGAATCTACCAGCCAGGGGCTTCTCCGCCACCAAGCGAGTCGCCATGTGCTGCAGGCTACCCGATGTGACTGCCAGGTCATGAGCAGCACAGTGCCTATGCTGGTTATAGGCCCAGGGTGGAAATCGATGCGCTTGCCCGAGGACGAGCTGCCACCAGTCAGCAGCACACCCATACCTTACAACTGCGCGAAGGGGATATGGCACAAGTATGTTCTGCGGATTGGAGTTTTGCAAGGAACGGTTCCGACGCAATTATATCTGGGCTTGTGCTGAGTCTCCACTGTTGGTAATACGAAAGACGTCCTTGTGAGCATTGCTTCCCATGTATAAGACATCAGGAAGCAACTCAATGTCGCACATGAGAACCGGAACGTGGCACCCAGACCACAACAAAGCAAAGCATCCTCCTCCGGCTCTCTTGCAGCGAGGGGCAGGTGATGTTGTCCTTGGAATCCTCATGATCTGCACGGGTGCGATTGCTCTTCATTCGGGTCGCAATACACGGGACTGCTTCTCACAGTCACATTGAGCACAGCGCAGCAAAGCATCACCCAGCAGGCAAACCATGACCATGGCAGATAACCCCTCATCCATCCACCGACGAAGCCTTCAATCAAAAGCCCCTCGCAACCCTGAACCCTAAACCCTAAACCCTAAACCCTAAACCCTAAACCCTAAACCCTAAACCCTAAACCCTAAACCTGAAGCTGCTGCTGCGGAGGCACAGACTCCACGGCTTTGTGGCAAACAGCCCTGGCCGCCTCTCCCATGCCCTTGCCGGCGCTGAGCCTGCAGGGTTCAGGGTTCAGGGTTCAGGGGTCAGGGTTTAGGGTTTAGGGTTTAGGGTTTAGGGTTTAGGGTTTAGGGTTTAGGGTTGAAGCTCTCAGCTTCCTTGCTTGGCCTTGCGCTTCCTGCTTCAGAGTCGGACCTAATCCGGTACCCGGAAAACTTGTTCTTTAAAGAGGGTCTCCCAATGTCGACGTCGGGACACTTTTCTTCTTAGAGGGTCTGCAAACTAAGCGGGTGCAGCATGAAGCCTAAACCCTAAACCCTAAGCCCTCAACCCTCAGAGCTTGGCAAGCGGCGTGGAGGCCACCAGTTTGACGACCTCTGCATTTGGGAAGTTTCCTTCCGAGACACCTGATGCAGCAAGTGGCCGCAAGCTTGCAGGCACACGTGAGGCACACGTGAGGTACTTCCGAAAATTGAAGGATTTGATGCTCCCAGAGATACTGGAACCCACGGCCGGGAAGGTCTCTGAGTTTAGGGTTTAGGGTGTAGGGTGGACTGCAGGCCCTCATGGTGTTGTGCCCGAGTCACCGTCGCAAACCAGCAGGAGAAAGTCAGATTCATCACACCTTCGACGGCGGCCACTGTGTCAAAAAATGCTATGTTGCGTGCCCGTGCCCCTCTTAGGATCCCCGGATCCACTCCCCGAAACTAAGGATGGCAAGACGAAAGCCCTTCCGCAAGAAACATGGAGACTACCAGCCAGAGTGGCTCGAAGTGCGACATCTCGGGGTCCACAGTGACAGGGCGATCCTCGATGCACACCGCAAGGTTTGGAAGAGAAAATCAAGGATACTGGCGCCTACTTGGAAGCCCATGGAAGCCCTTTTGACTTCGTAAGCAGGGTTAGTACTGTAAGGTGGGTTATGGGGAATATGATGGGGTTCTAGGCGATACTAAATAGACTTACTAAGTCATGGGAGCTTCTAAGTACTGCCGCACATCTCTACCAGCTTGGTGCCTGAACATGCGTGCCAAAACGTGCCAAGGCTGGTGGTCCTCTGGACCGGGGCCCCCCGTCGCTTTTTCGTCCTGGCATTGCACACTACGATGCCCAGCTCCCCAAATACAAAAACACAAGCTCCTATGTCCTTTGTTTCAACACATTCTTCAGACTCCCTACCCCTCCCAGAGCACCTTGTCCCCAAAACCTCGGCTGACCGAGAGGTTGCCATTGACCTCATTGGGCCGCGGCTGCTAAGACCAGCACACAGTTTGGGCTTTTGAAGGATACTCCCAGTGCAGGCACATAGCCACGATCCCAAGGCTCTGAGCCTGGGGGCCCCCCATCTGAATCCGGGCGGCTCTTGCCACGCCGCCATCCGCGATCTCGACCTGTATACACGTCCATGGCATTCTTCAGTCTCCAGTACAGCACACGCTTTCGGCCTGGCCTTGCCCCCACAGCGCTCGATGCGCGCCTTACGAGTGTGGAGGATTCTGGAACTGGATATGTTGCTCACAAAAAAGCTTTCGAAAGGCCTTCTCCGTTGGATGGTCCGGCTTGTGATCCGTGGTTAGTCCTGGCACAGCCCAAGGCATACATTGCGCACCCAAAGGCTTTTCACACTGTCACACAGCTCGGAGCCACCTTTGTCGGTGCCGCCACCATCCACGATGCTGCCATCTCGCTTGCCTAGCAGCGTCCGGCTGTCGCCCGCGTTGATCACGTGGAGCCGATGCTTTCCACCTCCAGAACGCATGGAGCCGCCGTCAGTCATGCTGAACATTATGAACAAAATATTTGCTTGCGTGGCTAATTTTATTAATACTACCCATATTTTGAATGTTAATCAATATGAAGGCAGATAAATCTTTACCAGAGTGATAATATTCAATATTATGAATAGTGGATACTATCAAAAATATTGTTCATGTGATTTCGATTTTGAATGAGATTACAACCATTCATATTGTTAATGAACTTAATACTCTTAAAGCTATGAATACTGTTAATAATATTAACATTACCTCTTTCTACTACAACAAGTCATCTTCGAGGCTTCATTCTGGATGCCGTCAACCTAGCTTTCACGTTGCCTGCTTCTTTGGGCTTCCGCACAATGCACATGGTGGCAGTGGTGCCGCTGCTCTGTTCAGAATCCAGAAACTCCTTGTCGATCTTGATGAACCTGAGCAAACCCCTAAACCCTAAACCCTGAACCCTAAACCCTAAACCCTAAACCTAAACCCTAAACCTAAGACATCCTAAACGTACTCAGAAGCAACTGGCTCAACCTGGTCTGGCTCTGAACCTGAAGATCGCGAACAAAAGCCATTCACCGCAAGGCTCAACACCGCAAGGCTCAACACCGCAAGGCTCTGCACGTTTGCCACAGGGCTGCCTCCAATTAGAAATCGAACACGGCGAGAACACCAAAAGCCTGCTGACAAGGAGCAACTTCTTGACAGCCGCATCACTGTCAGGACACCCATTCGCTTCGATCTCTTCCCGTAGCCTGTTGAGGGTCTCATTTGCTGGGCCAGGATCTTGGAACTCTTCAGCGTCCAGGATTTGACTCTCCCACAATCGTTGCAGAGCCGTGGCGCCAAACCAATCCCCTCTTTCAAGCATTGGTTCATGGGCGCTTGTAACCCAAATTCTTAAGTTTACTTATAACCTGCTTAACTGAGGGGGCTTATAAGTTAGTACAATGAAAAATTGAGATTACAAGTACCTCTGAACCTCCAAGTAGGGGGTGTAAGGGGGGTCAGGATGGTCCAGGCCTCCTGGCAACAAACTCGGAACAGGCACCTTCCAGTCTGGCAAGCAACAGCGGAAAACTTCAGGAAATTGGGATTCAAGATCTTTTCGCAAGGGTTTGGGGCTTAGGGCTTAGGGTTTATAGGGTTCCGGGCGCACTGATGAGACCACATGCCTCCACCATGCCCATCAAAAACGCCGAAGACGCCCCAGCCATCACCGAGCCTGTCACCGGGGGGGCCGGGGGGGGGGGAGGAATTCATCCTCAACCCTACCCAAATTGTTCCCTTTGTAGGAGAATGCCACAACTTGGTTCAGGTAGTTGGTCGAAGTGCCAAAATGGCGAAGACAAAAGCGTAGCGAGCACCAGCGTCATGCTCAACCCTGTGCCCTAAACCCTGCACCCCAAATCCCCGAAACCCTAAACCCTAAACCCCAAACCCTAAACCCTAAACCCCAAACCCTAAACCCTAAACCCCACAACCCTAGACCCCAAACCCTAAACCCTAAACTGGCATTGGAAGCTCAGGGCTCTGGCCGACGCTTCCGGGCTCCTTTCGGTCTGATTCTCCGTTTCGGTGTAGGCATTGAGGTCAGGTTTGGGATGTTCCCCCTTAACCTAACAGTCCTGACATAGGGAAATTATTATTATTATTATTATTATTATTATTATTATTATTATTATTATTATTATTATTATTAGTTATTCTTAGTATTATGATTATAGTACCCCCGTATTTTTTAAAATCATCCCAAGGTCGGGTCTTACACCGTAGCAGGCCCCGGCACTGTGTTTGACTGTTTCCCAAACCGGGCCCCCGCACATGATCAAGTGCGCGTCTTCCATACTGGTGCGCCAGCCATTCCTCGGCTGAAACAGAGGATGGTGCGGGGACCTGCCCATAGCTCGACAAGCACTCAAGGTGGACAAAGGAAGCACCAGAAATCTTGCGTTAGAGACCTCTCATGCAAGTGTTCAGTACTAGCGCCGGCAGAAGTCGGGTATTAGGGCCAAACGCTGTGTGCTCCAGGTTGCGCACAGCTAAGTTCCAACAATAAAACAGTCGCGTTGTTAGCGGCTGCACTTGCAAGCCGGATATCCCGAACATGAAACTCATCCTCGCGATGAAACCTCGAAATTCCACTTCAAGCCTGGCATCATCTCGGCGACAGCGACATCAAACGCCCCCTCAGTGTCTGAGCATGTCGGACATTTACAAAAAAGCACATACTACTCTACTCCTGAACGCATTAGCAAAACTCTCAACGTGATTGTGCAACCTGAGGCCCAAAGCTGCAAGCCAACTTGCTTCAACCAAGCATCTGAGCTCTGCGACTCAACGACGGTCGATTCGACAGCTTTGGGCAGCTGTGCGCCCATTCTGGCCAACAGCTCCGCAGTGGGCGGCTTCTTGGCAAGGCTCTGCTCGGATCTGCCGGGCGCACAGGACACGCACAGGACACGCACTTGGAAACAGGCCTTTGCACGCAACCTTGCAAGAAACAAGGCCGCCGAACACTCCACACCCGCTGCCTGGCTGGCCCAAGATTCCTTGGTTCTCACAACGCTCCTGCCACGGTATAATTCCCGCGCGCACAGACACACAAAGCACGTGCGTTCTCCAAGCCCCACACCCACAGCTGTGCAAGGGTCGGTCCGCCCAAATTTGAACCGCAACGGCTTGACAAGCTTCTGTCCGACGAATCTAAGTTCCCTCGCAATCTCCTTGATCGAGGTGCCGAACAGCTCAGCCAGATGCACTTTTCAGTGACTTTGCGCGAATTGGTAGCTAGGTTTGGTGAAACGGCTGACCGACTGAGCGTCAGCAAGGGAAATCCAACGTCACCGAAAGCTGGGCTTCTTCTGCGCACTCCCCCTCAGAGAGTGACAAAATTGTCTCCACGTCGCTGCCATCTTCTTTGTCGACTTTATGCTGGGCCATATTCACCCCTTTGCTCTCTCTCCTCCCGCCGACTGTCACGGGAATGGTGCTGCGAAGCAATGGGGCACCGATCCGAAACACTTTGGTCCTGATCTCGGATGCGCCTCCTTCCGAAATGGTGCAGTGCGCACTTGGCGTGGCCGCTTCCGGGGCAGCGGGCGGCGAAACGATGGCAACTCCGGGTGCGGGTGCTTTTGGCAAACCTGCTCCACTTGGCTTGCGGGGGTATCCTGCTGCACGCGTTGGCTCCTTGATCCCCTTGAGCTCCTGGTGAGTCTTTTCCGGTGCGGTTTTCTCCGAGCATCTCGGAGGGCTCTGTGAAGGCATCGTTTCTGTTGCTGCATGGACCTCGTCAAAAGCATGATCCGGCTGAGCCGCTTTGGGGCCATAGCCACCGGAAGGGGTGGCAGCTGGCCCTGTCGCCTGAACAACATCAACCACTTTGCCCACTTTTTGCGCGCACTGCGAAGCTATAGACTTGGACTGCAACTCCGTCGCGGAACTTGTGTCCAATGCTGTCGACATCATTGGCGACGACGGAGTTGTATATCCAGCTGCGCATGCTTGTGATTGTGCGTTGTCCCGTTTGGGCGACAGGAGTGGCAGTGGCTTGCGTAGATCTGCTTCCAAGAGGTCTGCCACGCCAAGCGCGCCTGCAAGCTTAGCCCTGTTCGACATGGCACCGACTGCAATTGAACCACTCAAAGCTGAAGAAAGCACCACGGTGCATGAACAAACATCATCAAGCGTGCAAACAAAGGCAACAAACTTGGCTGCACTCGGAAGTGTAGCTAGAAATTAATTTTTTAGCTGCCTCTTGAAGAAACCCAATAAACCCAAAAAGACTAAAGATCTAAAGTTACAGTAAAGAACCACAGAGCAAAGTGGCAGTGGCGACATGCTGCCTCAATCTTTGGCGTTTGCTGGAGGGCGCAAAGGCCGTAACGACGCCTACGGAAGGGAGCTCCATGAGGCCGTCACAAAGGCACATTCGAGTGTTGCTGCACACCAGGTGAATTGCTTATTGTCAATTAAGGCAGCATATATCTTAATGATGAAGGGATGTAACATTCTTTTTTTTATGTAAGATTCTTAGCGAGGCAAGTTTATTGAAATGTACGCATGCGCAACTTAGTACAGCGCACAACAAACGTTCCAAGACGGGTTGGCACAGGCATTGGTTTCAAGATTAGGCGGAAGCACACCTTTTTCTTCTCTCTGCAGCTACTGTACAGCGAGAAAGAGAGAAAGACTAAACTAACAGTCTAGGAAAGATTTACCCCCAGCCCCAAAGCATGCGTTTTTTCATTCTCCTGGTGTCTTGGTGGGAGCGGGCACGCTCACGGCTTGCTTGCCGCCTCCACGCCTCAGAAAGGGTTTCTTCACCGGGATGATTTTCTCCTTTTGAAGTCTCACCGACTCACGCTGCATGTAGTCGAAGAGTTTCTGCTCGTCACCGTCGCATTCCGGTAGCGCCAGGAATTCTCGCATCTGTTTGTTGGTAAAATGTGGGAAACGCATCTGCATCCGATCATACAGCTGCACGTTGAACTCAGACGTAGTGTGCCACGTCTCCGATTCGAAGTTGGCGAGCTGGGCCACGAAAGCTGCGTTCGGGCTGATACACTTACGCTTCGCTTTGACAAAAGCCATCGCTTCATCCAAGCACCACCGCTGGGAAGCAATGAGAAATGCAATCACCACGGAGGCGGATCGTGACACTCCAGCCATACAGTGAACCAGGACGCAAGAAGGTGGCTCCTCTTCACCATCGGTCAGCTCAGTCTCTGGATGTGTGCCAAGAACATCCTGAATCAGCGACAGCGCTGTTGGGAAGATTGTGTCGATGTTGCTGTGCTCATCGTCCTCCACATCTAGGACAGTCAGGGGAATCTTCTCGTCCTGGCTGATGGCGATTGCCTCCTCATGGCGACCCATCTTGAAGCCCGGAGGAATTACGCGGATCACTCGCTGGAGGCCACGCGCCTCTGCCAAGGCCCGGCGCATCGCGCTGTCCATGAACCTCAGGGACCACACGCACTCTGAAATATGCGTATATATGCGTCGTCTACCCTACTGTATATCCTTCTCCCGGAACCATATTCTTATGTAAAGTTGTGAAGGCTCATGTCGTCCACAAGAAACGCGTCGTTGGAGCCGAGCCAGAGCCCAGGGATGATCCTATGGCAGCTGCGCGTCTCCTTCAAGAGGGTCTCCTGTGCCGTGCGTCGGGACAGTTGATCGTCCATCTCTGCAGCCGATGCCTGTGTCATAACTCCGGCACCTAGCAACCCATACGCGGACGTTCATGTGTAGTTATAGTTATGATGTGGGATCTTCAGACCACACATAAGCAGACCACACATAAGCGCACAACCAACCCCCTTGCTTAAAGCCCAGCTATATCCACCCATGAGCATCTAACCCGCGGCATCCTCGACTGTCCTCAACCACACGTTCCTTGGGCCGATGAAGACGAAGATGAGGCGGACGGCGCAATTTTTTGTCTTGCTTTGTTTTTCTTTGTACCGGGTCGGGGGCCTAAGGCCTGAGGCCGGGCTCTGGGGGGCCGTTCTTGAGGCACCATGGCGTTTCTCCGCTAGGACTGGTCCCCAAAAGCCAGCTGTACTTGGCTGTAGCCGGTGTGCCCCGCACTACCCCTATTTGGGTGTAACTCTCAAAGCTTCCCGGAATTAGCATGATTGTGGGGCATGGCTCAGCTCTTGGGTTGGGCCGAGGGTCGTCTGCTGCACACGCCATTCCGCAATGCCCTGTTCCGAACCTCGCTCTGGCTTGCTGCGCTCTCGCGGAACGGGCCGCTGCCCGGGTCTGCCGTGAAGCCGGAGCAACACTGTTGCACGCAACGTGTTGGTGCGAGACCCCAACATCCAACCTGCACGCGTCGACGCATAGAGGTCATCGCTAATGGGCTCCCACTCTGGGGCGGAGCGCAACTGGCCGTCGATACCACCCTTAGCGGTGCTGCACGCCGACACAAGTGGCAGTGCCGCGGGGCTGCGCTCCGCATCGCATGGAGGGCGAGGGAACACACCTACCCTGAGCTGTTGCGCTCTTACCGGTGCTGGCTTGTTGTTCTCACCATGGAAGCCGGAGGACGGTGGAGTCCCGAAGCTGAGCATTTAGTCCACTGCCGAGCCCGAGCTTTGCCGCGGCCATTGAGGCCGGCCACCGTTCCGCCTTCCTTGCCTTCGCCGCCGCCAGGGCACGAGCCTGCATGGCCTCCCCCTCGCCGGCACTGCCAAGTCGATGGCGACCAGCCTGCCCTCAGTGACGTCCTGTCCTCCACTCGCTTTGAGGAAGCCCCGCCACTCGAGCAGCAGCCCCGAACCTGGGCGTGGAGGACGCTGACCTCGTTAAAACAACGCTAGTCCGCTGACAGCCAGTCGTAGAAAGATACGCGAAAAAACCAAAACCTACGTGCTGTATGAAGCCCAGTACCGTGATTCAGATGATTCAGCGACAATTGCTCGCTTAGATAAGGTCACGCACCACTGGCGGCGTTTGCTACAGTGGGCCAGTGGTGCATCGGGGGCTGCAGTTCTTCGTGAGCTTGGCTTGGCGTCCGGGTTCCACAGAAGTTTGGCCACGTGCGTCTTCAATCTCACCCTGAGTCTGTGAGGCTCTTGGGCCTCTGAAACCATATGTCTGCGGGTGGCCCAGGGCAGGGCCTACGACATGTCTGGCAGTATAGGCGTCCGGTTGTCAGCCTCCATTAGCGTTTTTTACCCACGTTGAGCTGCACTCGCGCATGAGCCTACAGAGCTTCAGCGAGCGCGTCATGCAAGGGCTGCACGCGCTCTGGCACCGCGATGGCACAAACATCGCTATAAGGAATGCGAAAACAGCCTCTCCGTTCCTAGCCTTTCGCATGCCTCACCTCGTGGGTAGTGCCTGAGCCATCATATCACGTACAGGCGTAAGGCAACAGTGGCCACAGCTCCGGCATTCCCAACAGCGCCGTCAACATCGGCTGGCGCGCCACATGTCGAAGGCGCCAACGGGCAGTCGAATGACGGCCTCAGCACCGGCGCACGTGCTGAGACTAAACTGTTGTGGCAGGCACGCCGCCTCAAGAATCCTCAAGAGCGGGTTGTTGCGCGCAGCAGGCGAATGACGGCCTCAGCACCGGCGCACGTGCTGAGGCTAAACTGTTGTGGCAGGCACGCCGCCTCAAGAATCCCAAGAGCGGGTTGTGGCGCGCAGCAGGCGCATGACGGCCCCAGCACCGGCGCACGTGCTGAGGCTAAACTGTTGTGGCAGGCACGCCGCCTCAAGAATCCTCAAGAGCGGGTTGTTGCGCGCAGCAGGCGACTGACGGCCTCAGCACCGGCGCACGTGCTGAGGCTAAACTGTTGTGGCAGGCACGCCGCCTCAAGAATCCTCAAGAGCGGGTTGTGGCGCGCAGCAGACGAATGACGGCCTCAGCACCGGCGCACGTGCTGAGGCTAAACTGTTGTGGCAGGCACGCATCCTGAAGAGCGGGTTGTTGCGCGCAGCAGGCGAATGACGGCGCTCGCGCATGGCGACGACGCGGCCGACACGCAGGCTGGCAAAAATGGCCGGTGGGACGGCGGCGAGAAAAGGTGCAAATTATTCTGCCACATGCAAATAGGCGGCTTTCACCTCAACATTTAACCCGGAGGACATGCTGCATGATTGTCGCCCCAACCTCACGGCAGACCTGCGCAGGTGCTCGCAGGGGCCCACCACAAGCACGCAGAACACCGGACCGAGGGCACGCAGTGAGGTGGTCTGCAAGAGGGTCGTGGGCACGGCGGCAGCGGCATGTCGCGGCTGTGAGCGGCATGGGCAATCGAAGATGAGGACTCCCAGCAGTGACGAGTCCAGGGAGAGCTCGGGGGGTGGGGTGCAGATGCGCGCCGCATACGGGCCAGCCTGCGAATCCCGCATGGCAGCCCAAGCGGAGTCAAAATGACGTCGGACGCGACTCGCTGCCACCCACGAGCCTTGTCGAGTGCAATGTCCTCCGGAATCTTCTCAAGTGAGGGATTGGCATGGCCAGGGCAGAATTTATCGAACCCAACATCGGAAAGAGATTCTCGAGCGACTTTTAGTGCGTCAAAGGCAGCATGCAGGTGACGTGAGGGATGCGACAAAAGCATCGGGAAACGCTGCTTCACGCTCGTGGAAAGCCCAGAAAGAGTCAGCCCAGAAAGAGTCAGCCCAGTATGCTGTTCGCGCATGCCTCTTTGCGCTTCGCAGCCCGAAGCCGCCATGACGGAGGGCGAACTGGGCTGGGACGACGACATGCGCTGGCATGCGCTGGCAGTGGGGCACAAACGGCGGGAACAACAAAGCTGCAAGAAGCTTTAGGGAGTGGAGTTGCTGTAGGAGGGCAAGTTGCGGTCCAAGACTCCACGCAAGTGCGCCTCAACAAACTCGGGGCACTCTCCGGGCAGTCGATCGGGACGCCCAAGGCGAGAGGTCGCCGACCCAAGCAGCAGCGTTTGGGGCACTCCCATCATGCCCATCAGGGGGGATGCCAACCTCTTTCAGCACGCACGTACTATGCACGTGCAAGTGTTGTCGCAGGCGCTTGCTGAGATGGACGACGCGGGCAGGGTACGCGACCAAGCAGATGTCATCCAAGAACGCATACACTCGGACTGGAGGGAGCGCAAGGCTGGGACAACTGCGAGGGGAAACAGAGCCGGCATCATCCGGCATCAAGAATCAGCGGGTCGACTTGCTTGCCACCCTCAGCCTGAATGATGACAAATGTGGCGGCAGCGCGTACCACAGACGGGCAACGGGCCAGTATGGCGTCGGCCCTTTGCCCTTCCTGTTCCGCCCGTCATTCGCACACGACGGACTCGCGCCTTTCTCGGGACAGTCAGTGCAACTTGTTTCATGCCATTCGTGCTTGTCCATTGTTGGCCTCGCAGCACAACTGGTTGTTGGAGCGCGTTCCCCAGTTTGGAGACGACGATTTGCTACGTTGCGCTGCGTTGCCCAAAGTCGTTCGTCTGCGAATGCTCATGTTCACTACGGGCAGCTGTTTGGCAGATTGCTTGCGCCATGTTGACAAGCTTGCATCCACGACCGTAGTGCTGGGTTGTCGCAGCTCGGAGGCCAACGTGCCTGGCCGTTTGTTGTGGTCTGTGCATTTATGTACTGACCTCGTTGTCGCTACTGCCAGCCGACTCCCATAAGTGCTATGAGCCTCACCTTGGGCCGACGAGCGCAGCGTGTTGTTCGGCACGCCCCTGGCCATGACTCTGAATGCCATGTTTGGCCTGCCTGCTGGGTTTGATTGGCATCGCTTCGGGCCTAAGATTCTACACCTTTTGACTCCACGACTGCACGCGCCGCATATGCGCAAGTTGGTCGCGAACATGTCTCCGGCACTACTGGAAGTACACGCGCTATGTTGGAGACCTGCCTGAAGGATTTGTTAAATGCCAAATCTGTTTTGCCATTCCCAACGCACCCATTCGCGGCAGACTTCGTCACAACATCTCACAACTGGAACTCGCAGTTGGAGGCCGCTGCTCACATTTTGCAGCAATTGATTGGATGGTCTGGCAAGGGTGTCGCGTGTTGCTTGTGCCAACTTCGCAACAATATTGCACTTGGAACATACGTGTTGCACTTGTTGGCTTGGGCCTCGACGGGCATTCACAATTTTTGTTAACGTTATCAGAACATTGCACTTGAAACGTACGTGTTTGCACTTGTTGCCCTTACGGGCATTGCAAGTCTGAAAGACTGAGGTTGTCTCACGACGATCTGGTTGGTGTGGCTGCTAGTCAAACCGGGACCTTTTCATGCAACGTGTTGGCACGCGCTTGCAATTTCACATTTTTTCAAGCCAAGTTCAGCACCCGAAATGGGAACGTCCTGGACATCCCACTCAATGCTGTAGAAGGGCACACACACTCAAGAAGGCACGCCAACCGACTCGTGCGGAAGACGTGACTAGAAACCACCTGTCTGCTACGCGGCTACGCCGAGGAAAACGCAGCCACCGTCCGGATGCAGATGTTCACTGACATTGAATTTGGCCGGCCAGACACCTGCAGCTCCGACGACATAACGCGACCACGCCACGGAACTTCCCAGGGACGCCATGTTCATGCCTGACCGAGCGCCCGTGCGAATCCGTGCTTGTCAAGGTCTGACACATGCCAACGGACCACTCATGCCGCTTGGAACCGACGTCCATGGGTGGTGCCACGTTGGATAACATGGCGGCCATTGAAGATCTTGTCCTTGCTTTTGCTGCACTGCTGCGGCGCGTTTGGGCGAAGCACCTCGCTCGCGAAATGCGATCCTGGATGACATATTGCCCTAGTCCGTGGTCATGGGCATCATGGCTGGAAGAGGAAGGGCAGGGAATTCGTGTCGTGCAGGCTGCTCCCGCCACCAATGACTGAGGAGGTGACAAACGCACACTGATTACTCCGTGCCGTCCGTGACGTAAGTGATGCGATGCGCCCACATATTTCGGAAGGTTGCACTCCTCATGTCGGTCACGACATGATCAGCGTCGCACAGAGTATTCTTTTCGCAACTGTTCCATTTCATTTACTACATTATAAGGACGCAGTAATAATATTCTTACGGGCCAATATAATATTTGTACGGCCCGTGCATTCATTCGTATGTATTCACTCACTCTCTCCTCTTAATAATAATACAGTGAGTGAAGAGAACACAATTTAATATTATGGGAAGCTCGTGCCTGTAATAATATTGTAATTGTGTGAACGTAACACGACATGTGGTCAATTCACCAGAGAGTTTATGATTACATTATTACCGCTCTCGCGAATCGGGCAATCGCGGTCTCCCCACTTGTACTTGTACTTGCCTGAGGCAACGTCGATGCTCACACGTTCGTAAACCTCCGCAAACAACCACTCGGCTATCGACCCACACGTGGCTCCGGTCTCCAACAGCGCAACAAGATCAACGCCTCCGCACGAAACCTTAGTCTGCGCATTGAACCCCGGCGTGGGCGCGGAAGCCACGGTCTACCGGTCTGCAGGGAGCTTACTCATGTTTCCCGGCCAATGGCGCCAGCCTTTGGCACCGGGCTCCACAGTCTGGTTTTTTGAACCGACGCCTCTTTACTACATCAGCAGCGCAGTAGGCCGTTCTTGTGGGTCTCAACACTAGAGGTGAAACAGAGCAGGTGCGAGAACCAAAGCAAACACACACCAAAACCACAACAAACCACAACCACCAAAACCAAAGCGCCAAACATCGCTCAGTACTCGACCTCCACAGTCTGGTGCGAGGTATCGTAAAGAGGCACAGGGTCTCCCGCTGATCCCACTGGCACCTCAAACAGGGGTAAACTCGCTCTTCGGAAGCGGCAACTGCTTTGGCCATTGCAGCTTTCGTTTTGGCTTTCTTGCTCCTCTCCCCGGGTGGCTCCTGCTGCTGTTGCTGATGCGCAGCATCTCCCTTGACGTGAGAGAACTTACACTTGTCTCCGTAAGCGCAGTGCCCGCTGGCGAACAAGCGGCAAGGCTGCTTGGCCTTGTCCTGGTCCTTGTCCTTTTGCCGCCCGAGCCTTTGCCCTTTCCCTTGCCCTTAATTCTTGTCACCGCCATCACCTCCAGAGGCATACTGGTCTGCAGCTGCGAAACCATGGTGTCGGGCTCGGTGAATGCCGTCCTTGATCCCCCACCGCGGCACAAAGGCAAACGTTTCTCTGTCTCGAGCAAGAAGTTGCTCGCTCTCGCCCCGCTTCTCTGCAGCCTTGCGAAAGCACAAGGATACCATGTGGCCAGAGTGACCACAATGCTTGCATTTGGCATCCCACTCGGCAAGCTCGAGTCCCGCGCCTCGGTAGTGTTCTGGCTCGCCAGACCTTATTCGCATCCTTTCGCAAAAATGATTTCACGCGCCACGAGCGCGGCTCAGACCAGCTTTCCACCCCTCGAACCTCTTGTTGGATCCCAGGAGCTGGCTTCTACGACCAAAATCGCCGATCGCGAAACCTCGTCACGGAGGTACGACCCAATCTTGCGCAGGTAGTAGAGCAGGTCCATAGACCCCAGCAGCATTGAGCTTGGTCAGAGCCCAGGAAACCTGGAACTCCTGGAAGGCAGTGGACTTCTAATCCAGCACGTCATTTCCGACGAAGTTTAGGGCTTTTACAACTGCCTACAAGCACCAAAAATCAAACTCCTGCAAGAGAGCTTTTTGTTTTTGAACCGACGCCTCTTTACTACATCAGCAGCGCAGTAGGCCGTTCTTGTGGGTCTCAACACTAGAGGTGAAACAGAGCAGGTGCGAGAACTAAAGCAAACACACACCAAAACCACAACAAACCACAACCACCAAAACCAAAGCGCCAAACATTTATGTGTCCCCCGCGCTCAGTACTCGAAGTCGTCGCAGAAATCCAGGTGTAATCGAGCAGCGCAGAGCATGCGGGAGGGTCGCAAAATGCGACGGTTTGCCAGATCAACAAAATCACCATCATGAAGCCACTGGTGCAACGAAGGTCAGCACGGAAAGCTGTAAATCGAAGAAGGACAGCAGAGTTACCGGCCGACACGGTCAGGTACCAGGCACACAGTAGCGAAAAGGGAAGGTACAAATTGGCCAACTTCCCCAGAGGAAAGACAAGGCCAGCACGCGCCCCATGGTGGTCAGCCAATGGGGACTTGTTAGCAAGAACAACGGATGCAAGACCAGCCCAGGGCACCCCATGGTGGTCAGCCAGTGGAGCAGCCCCGAGCAACAGCCGACACAACTTGCGGTTCTATTATTGAAGCCCGGCAAAAGTTCCCAACAGCCAGGCGCACAACTGTGCCCAGTCTGACCACAGTCCCAAGTAGAAACTGGGGTCGCAGTCAGCAGGGCCCTCCAAACTTCCCAGGGAGGAAGCCTGCGAGCAGCAGCAGCTACCGATTCCGAGGGGAAAGACTACCAGACAGCAGTCAAACCCTCACTCTAGCCTTCAGCAAGGAAAGGCCAGCGCGCGCCCCATGGCGGTCAGCCAGTGGGGACTTGACAGTAAGAACAGCGGATGCAAGACCAGCCCAGGGCACCCATGGTGGTCAGCCAGTGGAGCAACCCCGAGCAACAGCCAGCACAAAGTGCGATTCGCTAATTAGAGGCTGAACTCAGGGTTCCCAACATCCAGGCGCACAACTGTGTTCAGCCCGGCCACATATCCAAATAGAACCTGGGGCCGCAGTCAGCAGAGTCCTCCTAGTTTCCCAGGGAGGAAACCTGCGAGTAGCAACAGCTACCGATTCATACCAGGCAGCAGTCAAACCCTTACGCCGGCCCGCAGCACTTCATTGCCATTGACCCTCCCAATCAGTGTGTCGCGGACGATACCGTGTAGAGGGCGTTTCAGCACGCTTACCTGATTTTTTGGCCTTCATGCTGACTCCCTCAACAGCAGTTGGCGGGTCAGCGGCTGCGGTATTGCGGGGCAACAGACAGGCTTGCGGCAACTCCTCTTCATCGACCCCCCACGCTGGGATGCCAATCGGGATGGGAACTCCTACATGCCGTGCCATGGTGGCTTTGGCTGACTGCCACATCGTCCGAACGGCCTCCTGAACTTGCCAATACTGCACAGCACCTTCTTCCCGGGACTGGAAGGGAAAGGTGGAGAGGGCAGTTGCAAGGGCCGAGGGCTCAGGCTCCTTGGCGTTGCCGTGGCAGTACATTTTATACCAGAAGCTGTTGAGGCGTTGCTTGGTTGGGTGTTTGGATCGTGTAAGCCCCTTAAGGGCTGCCCAATGGGCGGTGGCAGCATCATACCAAGCAGGCCGGGCGCGTTGGGCCCAATGTCTGTTCGGCGTTGTTCTAAGTCCTTGCCAATGCTCATCCTCGAGGGCTGGTAATCGAAAAGGGGTAGAAACATCCACTTCTCGCAAGGCCGCAAGGTCAGTGGTACGCAGCTCCGAAAAACGCCAATCATGCACCTGAGCTTCGAACTCGTCTGCCGCCTCAGGTGTCTCTGCAATAGGTGCAGGCGAAGCCTCCTCAGTGTCAGAAGAGATGCAACACACCTCCGAGGGGGCCTGTGTCGTAGCCGCAGAGGGCTCCAAGATTGTAGGCGGCGCAAGGAGGCTCTCCAAAGGCAGCACGCGCCGGAGGAAAACCGCAACCCTTGCGGTTGTGTCAGGCCACTCCAAATTGTAGACGGACCAGAAGTGTTCAATGTCCTGGTTTG